ACATCGTGCGACTTGAGAAGAGAAAAAATAAGAATTCATATTACATAAGAAAAAAAAACACAAGCGTACATAAAAAAGAAAGAAACCATACTACATAAGAAACCGTACATAAGATACCACACACAAGAAAACATAAGCGAAATAGTTCCTGTATACATGATCAAATTATACGACATCATAAATGCACAGTTAAGAAGCGATGTTAGAAAATATAACCGACCATTACCGACAAAAACGCACAGCAGCACATACGAAATAATCTGTACATACACTGATCAAACAATACAAAGCTAACAACACAATGCAACAACTGAACTCGGACAACCACTAAATAGACAGCATGCGTAAAGGCGTGCGTCTTTAATGACCTACTAGGTTATTTTCAAACTGTTCTACACTATTACATTCTCGCGTTTGTAATGGCAATTGATTCCATTCTTTAATGGTTCTTGGGAAGAAAGAAAACGCACAAACTGTTAATGTGCATCTGAGGTATTTCAAAAGTACCATCTTTGATTCTTCGCAATGCTCTACCTTGTCGTGCTATCAAGTACTGACTGCTATTGATGTTGAATTTGTTTTTAGACAGAAGGTAAAAAACTTTAGTCTTGCTATGTGCCTGCGTTCAGCAAGCGTGGGCAAGTTTAGGAAACCGAGCACTTCGGCGACGTAATCTGTACGAGAGTATCGTGCTAGAATAAACCTTGCTGCTCGTCGTTGAACTCTTTCCAGTCTCTGAATTAACCTTGACGGATGAGGGTCCCAGATTATACTGGCATACTCTAGCGTGGGCCGAACGTAGGTCAAATAAGCAGTTAGTTTTACTGACTGTGAGGCTAATTGCAGTTTCCGTCGCAAGAACCAGAGCTTCTTTTCCGCAGTTTCGCATATTTTGCCAACATGGTAAGACCAGCTTAAATTCGTGGATATATTTATGCCTAAGTATTTCAGCACGTCAACTGTAGAAAGTACTAAGGAATTCACTGTGTAATTAAAGTAGAAGATGTTATTTACTTTATTTGTTACTGCAATAAAACAGTTTTATTCTCATTTATTTTCATTTTCCATTTGTCGCACCATTCTTCTACTGTCCTAAGAGCGTCACTGAGTAACTCCTGATCAACCGGGCTATCAGTTTCTTTGTACAATAGACAATCATCAGCGAAAAGCCGGTCAGTGATCCTTTCGTCAATTTCAGAGGCGATATCATTAATATAGACTAGGAATAGCACTGGGCCTAACACAGACCGCTGGGGAACACCTGACGTCAGGTTCAACGGTTTTGATTTAATGCGTTTTACTTCTACGTACAGCGTTCTGCCCCGAAGGTACACGGTTATCCATTTTACTATTTGTTCGTTTATTCCCATAACTGCCAGTTTCAGAAGCAGTTATGCATGTAGCACTCTGTCGAATGCTTTTGACAGATCAAGATAGATGGCATCTGTTTCTTTTTGTTTAACATCATGGCAAAGTCATTAATTGTTTCAAGAAGCTGTGTAGCTGTGGAAAGGCGCTGTTGGAATCCATGTTAGCTGGGAAAAAATTTGTTGTCATTTTCAATATACGTGTAAATTGACTTGGCTACAGTGTGTTCTAGGAGCTTGCAGCAAACGCAGGTCAGCGATAGTTTTCAATGAATTGCTTATCACCAGATTTGTGCACAGGTATAACCTTTGCCGTAAGCCAATCATCAGGGATTCGGCAATCTGCGAGTGATGTGTCAAATATAATCTTTAAGCGTTCTGCTTAGCTTTCCTTCTTTTCCGAAACGGTACGAAATTTTTGATACAATGGAAGGTAATATTCTTGAAAGATTCCCACATGGCATTTACGTCACCTTGAAAATCAAAACTGTCCAGTGTAAATGACAAGTAGTCAATGATACTTGTGTCATCAGCCTCAAAAAAGTTGGGAACATTAGTAATGGCTTCTTTATGTTTTGACATTCTTTCATTATGTGTTATTTCGACAAAGACATCTTCATGGTCTGAGATACCCTTATCAACTGACACTTTGAACTGCTCGAAGCGCCCGTCAAGGAATACCAGATCCAAAATAGACTGACTTTCCCCCGATTTCCGCGTACTTTGGCGAACAACTTGTGAAAGGTCATAGGTGAATGCAGTGTCTAGGAGTAAATCGCAGTGTGCCTGTTCCCTACACTCTGCTGTGAACGTGTCCCAGTTAATTGCAGGTAAATTCAAGTCGCCGGTTAGGAGCAGCCGGCAGTTGCGTTTTTTGTTTGATTCTATGTAACTCTGTATCGACTCTAAGAATGAGAGAGGTGAGTTTGGCGGTCGGTAAACGGCCCACCACTTAACACGCTACTGTGAAAAAAAGGCGCTCCCAAAAGCCACCATAGCAGAAATCGCACAATTTTTCGTTAACAGAATCGTCTTACGTCACGGTGGGCCAGCTGTCGTCATAACTGATCGTGGGACAGCTTTCACCGCAAAAATGCTGCAAGAAATCTTGCGATTAAGTGGCACGGAACATTGTAAAACAGCGGCTCACCACCCGCAAGGAAACGGGCTGACTGAACGACTCAATAAAACAATTGCAGACATGCTGTCGATGTCTGTGGACATCGATCACAAGAACTGGGACGCCATCGTTCTTTACATAACTTTTGCGTATAACACTGCTGTTCAAGAAAGTACCGGCTTCATGCCTTTTCGCTTAGTCCACGGTCGTGAGGTCACAACGATGCTCGACGGTCCTGCTCGACAATTTAGGAATATACCACACGGTTGCCACCAAATTCGCCCAGTGCACAGAAGAGGCCCGTCAACTTGCTCGTCATCGTATTCAATATCACCAAACCGAAGACGCGCACCACTACAATCTTCGTCATCGTGAAGTTATTTTCAGGCCTGGTGATAAGGTATAGGTGTGGACCCCTATCCGACAGCGTGACCATTCTGAAAAGCTTCTTCGCCGCTACTTCGGCCCTTACAACGTCATACGACGTCTCAGCGACGTTACTTAGGAGGTTCTCCCAGAAGACACTTCAAGACGTTCCCGTTGCCCCCCGTACACTGAAGTCATTAAACGTTTCACGGCTCAAACCATACTTTTCGCGCTGTGAATCACCAGTGGATTGACTGACTTTATTGGTAACTTTGTGTCTTTCTTTTTGTTTAATCTTTTTCTTACATGCTTTCCTATTTTTCTTATTTCTCATTTGACTCTTGACTCCACAACCGACTACGTTATTCCGCCTTACACCATTCATTTTGCTTGCATATTAATTTTCGTCTCATTTTCTTTTTTTTTCTTTTTTTTTCTTTTTGCCTTCATATACAGCATCGAGACAATGCTTCTTGGGAGGGCTGTGGCTCATACTCGTTTTGGGCGGAGAGGAAGAAGAGAACATTTTTGTTGCTCTGAGTTCCACAGCTAAATTATTACCTTAACAAAGCTCGACTTGAGGCGTCACCGCTATGCATTTGGTGCAACGAAATCGAAACAATTGAACATTTCTTTTTATGCTGTCATCATTATTCTTATCAGAGAAAAAGATTTTTAGTAGCCCCATTACAAAAGCTAGGAATACAAGTAAATCTACCAGTAATTTTATCACTTGGCGGAACTTCATTTGGTTACTTCCACAGGGATATATGCTCCCCTGTGTTTGATTACATCAACACAACTAAAAGATTACCGTGCTAGTGAACCCTAACCTTTTCAGATCTTTAGTTTATAATTCATAGCTATGTCTGTCAAAAGCAAGAGATGGCTTGACCGCTTGCTCAGCAAACATTTTTGTTTATTGGTAGTATTATTTCTAAACTACTTTTTCAGATTGGCTTCCTTTTAACTTTAGTTTCATGTAAGTATCCTGCCGTTCGGTTCTTGGCCCATGCCCCTCTGTGGGTGAGCGCCATCCATCAGAGGTCATCAGCATGAGCTCTGGTTCAGGTGAACTCCTGGCTGTAGGTCTTGTTTTGCTCATGATAATATAATAATGCATCAGCTTGCTTGAACAGGCGTTCACCTGTAACACAATCAGCACCAGCAGATACGTATTTTGCGTATCACTTTTCAATGTCTGAGCACTGTACCAGCCCGTTCAAGTTAGCGTACTACTTAGAAGAATTTCTAGTCTGTCTATAAAGTAATTAAGACAACAATGATGCTAGGTAGAGTATAGAAAGACATTATTTAGTTTTTAGCTCTAGTGTTCTAATTATGACATAAATGGAAAGAGAAAACAGTTTTGTCACTAGTGTCTACTGAAGCCACTTCCTTCAAATTACACGTCCGATGCTCTACTTATTTAGTTACAATAGCGGTAATTCTGCGACCACTTTGTTGGGTATTTCTGTGATTGTAATCTGGCGATTTAGCCTGCACCTGTCGTAAGCAATTCAGCGACAATGAAATACTTCTTTCTTGCCAGCTGGAGTTACATAGCGAGTGAGCATTTACGAGCTGGGCATTAAGTCCTAAAACAGCACAAGCAATGCAAGAACAAAAGAAGACAGGTCTGTCTGGACGAGGCCTTTGCTATGAAAGAACAAAGAGAGGCAAATGGGGCAGAGCTTTTTTTTTTTTTTTGAGACACAAACTAAAGAACAGAGGAGACAGCAGCGCTTGCATTTGTATTCTCTCTTCCTGGTTACATGTGAGGGTTTATTTATCTATCAGCTGCCAGCTCGTGAAGGTCACGTGCTACATCATGGCGCTTGACCGAAAAGAGTGTTTCACACTCGCTGTTGTGGCTGTGATTGGCACCTCTGAATTCTTAGGGTCAGTTTTATGCTTCTTTTTCTTTTGTGCAATGATCGAAGTGTTGCCCGGAATATGGATTTTGAGGTGAAATGTGCAATCTTGTTCTTCTACAACGCAAGTAGGCTGTATGTTGCATTTAAAATAGGGGTTTTGTAGCACAAGTTACAGTCTAGATTTCGAGGGTCACTAAAACAAGTCTCATGGTGATTTTAATTTTCTGAAAACAGTTTCTTTCTATGTGACTGACCCTGCTTTGCATGCAGGTTCTGGTGGGGCCTCACAGCTTCACTATGAAGTGTCCTCATTCCTCAGCTTCATCAGGCATGAAGTTGAAAGGTATGACTTTGTCGTAATATTGGCTGCAGAATGTTGCAGACTTTGAGAAAAGCTTGTTGTTGTGAAAGTCATGCTAAGAGCAATTACTGCTTGCAGTGTGATCACAGTATTACAATGCAAATAAGTATCATATTCAAGCTTGCCGAATCACTTGTAGGTTTGAAGGGCCTGTTCCCTCCATCACTTCGCCATGTAATTTATGCTTCACTGATTTATGCTCCTGATTTCGACCTCACTTTTTTATGTGCTTGAGTGCTCACTAGCCTCCTCTGTCCATGGATCTGTAAATAAGTTCCGATACTGAGATTGGTAACTAAGCAAGTTGATGGTTCTGAAACAGGTGGACACATACTGACGTGTCAAGTTAGCTATTACGAATGCTTTCGTAAACACCCTAGGTTTAATGCAACGCAGGGACAAATGTATGCACTGCCATCGGTTCGCAATGGACGAAACACAATTGCGCTTCCTCTAAAGCTTCACGATACTGTGGGTGCAATGGCCACAAGGCTCAACAAGCGACACTGTGCACTGTGTTAGAGAGAACTGAGCCTAGTGTCATATTTGATTGCTGCAACTGCTTGCTGTATTTAGAGCGCTTTCCACACATGGAATCGCTCTGTGGCGTGCTTCTTTTTTCTTTCTCTGATGAAAGCTCACTGTGCCAAAACAGTTTCTATCAACTCAAGTACCTTATGGTGCACTCAAGTCTTGCATTGTGAATGAGTTTGCAGATGGCTGATGGCATGGAACTGATGAGCAGACTAAGAAAAGCCATCACCTGCAATTATATTGGGCTGCATTAGCTGATTGCACTTACTACAAAGCTGGAAAATGTAATTTTTACTGTGAAAAAAATGTTTGGTAGGTCGAGAAAATAACGCAAAAGCGAAGGCAGGTGGAGATACCACCCAAATTTCCTGTGTAAAACCACCATGAATTTACAAATTTGGGTGCCTGCTTGGGTCAATTGTTTACTGCTATAAATTGACTAAATTGAATTTGAAAAACTCAAGGACTGAAGTCACCAAGTGTCGTGTTGTAGTTTGAAGGCTCCACAATTTTTCAAATACAGGGAACTACTACTGTGACATTATACTGATGTTTCAGCATGAAAGTTAAAATTTTGAACTTTGGCTATCCTGTTATTCCTCATTAATCAACAGTACTAATTGATTTATCTGAAAGAATACTGGAACTGCCTAATTTTATGAATTGTTTATTTTTAGAGTCCTTATCATGAAAGTTTAAATATAATTTCATGCAGAATCTGCAGAAATTCCCAGATCTCTGATTTCGTTGCACAGCTGTATAGGTTGTAGCAGCCTGTTGTTGATTTGTGCGATTTGCACAATAATTTTTCACAGTATTGGCCTTTTGGTACAATTGGTGATTAGTAAAGTATGGAAATAAATGAGGAGGATAGTTGCAAGATATGACATAATAGTCATCGGTCTACAATTACAACACAATCAGTTGTTGGTTGTCAACAGTAACCAGTCTCTTTCTGACATTGGGACAGTTGGACATCACAAGAACATGGGCATAATAAAGGGGTGCTGAAGAAGGCTTCCTCTTCTTTTGTGCACTGTTCATATTTTCAGATGGTTGATAATACAGATGGTTGATAGTGATTTACATTTTGGGGGAAAATCTTTTGACCTAGACAAGTGCAATACTTTATTTAACCTGTCAAGCTCTGTTGTGCAACGGTTTCAGGGTTGCAGACAGTGCATCTACAAAGATGGTTGATAGGCCATACCACAATCGGGATACGGAGTGGCTTGATTCGCGCGAACTGTGTTTCTGCCTCCTGGATGAGCTGAGGCTGACGTTGCGCCTCACTGGCCGCTTCTCGGACATTCCAGTGGACAAAAACGTGAGTGCAACTTCACTTCTATTATTTTTGCAGTCGTGTTTGGACGATTGCTGCACACACTTGTGTGGAATACATGCAAGTCTGACTCAAGCCCTCCGCGATTTCATGTGCAGAATTTAAAAAAGTCAAACTGAAAAGAAGGGACGCCAATTCTCACTGCTAGTTTTGCTCCACTGTTTGTGACCCCTCTCTCAGCTATCATGCTGGCATTCATTTCACTTCCCTACCCACCGATTTGCCTTCTGTCAAACTTTTTATATCATTGTTTATCTTGAGTACACTCAAATCTTGATATAATAAGCACAGATATAACGAATTATTGGTTATTAAGAAGCATATGAAAAATGGTCTCGTAATAGACACAGTATTAGAAAAATATACCTTTATAGTAAATTTTCGAATATAACAAACCTTTTTTTGTGTAACATGCAACTTTGTTTAAGGAGGTTTGAGTGTATTTCACCCCTGTACCTCTAGCACAGCTGCAGCTTTTTTTTTTATCTCTTTCTTTTGGCCAACAAAGCAGCTCACAAGGGTAAGGTTCATTTGACGACAATGTTTATACATAGAGTATTTCAGCACATTAAAGCAAAACTCATAAACATCGCCCCCTGCAAGAATGTCCCAGCAAAACAAGATATATTCCAGTTAAACATGGCGTCTTTAGTGCAGCAAAGCTCTCTGTAATGTTTTGGAAACGATGCTACAATGAAAAAATGTGTGATCAGATGCCGGAAAAGCTTCAGTGGGATCCTTAAAGGGGCCCTGCAACACTTTTTGAGCATGGTCAGAAAACGCTGCTGATCGGTAGTAGAGACTCCCTACAACACGCGAGCCAAATGGTATAGCACGGCATGTGGCCTGGAATTCTCAATAAATTATCAAATTCAGCTAAAAATTGCTCTTTCCTGACAAATCACGGAGTATGCCCAAAAATCAAATGTAGACTACCCATCTATCAGCCATTGGCTAATTTGAAGATGGCGCGCTCGGTTGTTACAGAAATCGCCGCAAGAGGTCGTCACTTGTCCATGCGTGTGCGATTGCACGAAAAATCCGTGCATTAAGTGAAAAAAGAAAAAGTGCTCAAGGTCATGAGACGAACGTGATGTTTTTTGTTTGCCCGTCCCATCCCTCCATGCTTAGTTTCCAGCGCTTTCGTCGGGACGAGAGAAGAGAGAATGTGATTGCAGCGTTTGAAAAATATTTGTAACTCCGCTCATACTGGACAGATTCTTAAAATTTTTGCAACATAAAATTAGTGCGGCAATACGTTTTTTCACTGAATTAATTTCATTGTTACTCAAAAAAGTGTTTCAGGGCTTTTTTAAATTTCTTGAGTATTCATAAATCCTTGTCTTTGAAAGCTGTATGCACGAAGGTGTACTCTCTGGGCCCAATCAGATGTGTGTCTCATACAGGATTCCTTTTATTTCTCATTTGTTTGGAAACAGCACTGCCGCTCCAGCGACAACCGCCGTTTTCACATTGCGCTCGAGTTGTGGTGGACTGCGCTTCGTGTGACAGACATCGTCATGTCCTCCCACTTGCTCAGAGGTAAGCCTAACAATTTTTGGCACCCTTGTGCTCGTCGACAGTTTCTCAATTAAAGTGTGTGTTGCTGCGGTGTCTGGCTCTATCACTGTAGGCGCTGAGATCTCATTCTGCGACCTGGGTGGCTTTGGACAGAACGCCGTCTTCGCTCAAGTGGCTGTGCTCTTCTTGGCGGACCTCTGCTGTCTGTCATCTCGTTTTTTCCAGGTTGGTGCTGTCAAAGCTCCCATTGACAAAAATTTGTAAGCCTTGCACACTAGCTAATTTCCACCTGACAAGAATAGTTCAGTGACTGGAGTTCTCTACTTTTTCCTTTTGCTGCAGACCATTGTTGTTATTATTTTCATTTGAAGTCATAGATTCTATTAGTTAGAATGATAGTAATGCTTTGACATAGTCATAAACATAGTGATTAGCACTTAAGAGTACTATTAAACAGGAGGAATTTTAGAGGCTTGGTTTTCTTTGTTGGACACAATATTAATGACAACTAGCAATTGACAATGCCAAGGAAAGTATATAAGGGACATCATTTATAGTAATTACTAGATAAATATGAAATAAGTTAAGTTGGCAGAAAGATAACTTGCCACAATCAGGTTTGGTCCCTGGCAGGAGCAAGTTTTCTTCTCGTCCGTTTTACGTTCTTCACATTTACGTCATGATTACCACTAATAACGTCCCTTATACTTTCCTTCACATCACTGTCTGCTAGTTCTCATTAATACTCTAAAACATCCAAGTTTAAATTAAGGCTCGGGACTGTTTTCGCAGCATACAACTGTGAAATCCACACATAAAACGTGCTATTAGTACTTATGATGGACTTCTGACGGACAGCGTGGGTTAGAGATTATTGAAAGATGCTTTCATCCTGTGCTACACCTAAGATAGACATGATGATGATTGTGATGATGAACTGAAAGATGCATGCAACTGCATTAGTACCTACTTGTGACTCCAGCTCTAATGAAAGGATTGCTAGCTTTTCTGCTGAAGTTTACGAACTGCTAGATCTGAAAAAAGTCTGAATGTCTCTGAGGACATGGATTGCAGCCTGTCATTTTGATTACAAGTATATACTGGTAGAACATGCTAATACACAAAAGTGATACTGTGCCGTTTCACTAGCTATGGTCACAAACAGTTCGAAAATGCGCATTCTCAGATCTTATTGCTAACTTTTGTGGTCCAGTGTAAGTTATTCACAGCTTGCTTCATTAGTGGGGCTGTCCACTGTGGTGGTGGAGCTGTTATGGTGCTCGGCTGCTGACCCTAAGGTCGCGGCCTCGATCCCAGCCACAGCGCTTGCATTTCTATGGAGGTGAAATGCTAGAGGCCAGCGAACTGTGCGATGTAAGTGCACATGAAATAACACCGGATGGTCAAAATTCCCAAAGCCCTCTACTATGGCGCTCCTCCATCGTTAGGACCTCGTAATCATGTTGCAGTTTGGGCATTTGAAACTCCGCATGATAATAATAATAATAATAATATATTGTGAGCGCTGATTGTGTTGCTCATCATTTTCACTTTCACCTGCGCATACAAAGCACCGTGATCATCATCATCGTAGCGGCTCGCTGCTTGTTCGGTTGCTGGCTCGCGCGTCTGGGTTGACAATAAAACGGTCGCTCCTTCGTACCTGACGTCGTCTCACAATATTATTATTATTATTATTATTATTATTATTATTATTATTATTATTATTATTATTATTATTATTATTATTATTCTCAATAATGCAGCAGCACTGCATGGCGCACAACTCATAAATTCATGAGCCATGGGGTCAGACAACATCAGTTAACCTTTAAAGAGCTTGGAATTGTGAAATTGCTAGACAAATGTCTTGCCTTTCATACTGAGCTGCAAAAACATGTAAGCACTGTGGCACTGATGGTCATTTCTAGTAGTAGTTGTTCTTTTTTTTACAAAGCATGTCAGAATACAGAAGCAGAAATTTCTTTAACAGTAAAAATGTAGGTTGTTTTGCTTGTTTGATTTTATTTTCATTATAAGCCTTTCTTTACTGCTCTTCTTTCACCTCTAGTAATCAGCGATTGTGGCCTTCAGTCGCTTTCTGAAAATTTTCTTCAGATACTTATGAAATCTGACGTGTTATTACTCTTCAAATTTTTTATATATTGCAGGCTTACATTTGATTGAGTGCGAACCCCTACATTGTTTTTCTGTCAAATCAGAGCTAAATGGATAAGAAGTGGGCGCTATGAATAACCTTAACTTCACCTAAGCCTATGCTCAGGGTTTGTACAGGTACTTGAAATTCTTGAAAACCCTTGAATTTGAAAAATGCATTTTTAAGGTTCTTGAAAGTCTTGGAATTTTTTTTATTCTTGAAAATCCTTGAATTTCGTGAGCAGTACACTCTCATATCGACATCGCAAACCCTTAATGTGGTAAGTCGGTGTGTCAACCTATCAAACTCCCCATTTCCGAAGCAGTAATGCAGCATGGGCGCACATACTGGTCCCATTTTGCAAAAGTGCATGTGATAAAGGAAAAGTTTGCTTCACGACTAAGGTGAAGCAGTGAATGTGATAGCAAAAAATTAGAATGTCATACAAAGAAGGGCAAGCAACTGCATACATGCTACGCACCGCTCAAGCACAAAGGACACACGAAAAGAAAGCGCTCAGGATAAGTGCTGATGAACAACTGTCACAGCTCGACATTGGAAGGGTGCTGCTTAAACACCAAGGAGGATGCTAGAAAGAAATATACATGTATACACAGGATGGAGGCAAATTAACCACTGTCACTGTTGTTACTTCTTGGTGTTTCAGCAGTGTGCTGCAAGTGTCAACTGCACAGGCCACCGTTCCTAATGGAGCGATGCCATCCAATTTCGAGGCTATAGCAAGCGGCGTGTGGGTTTCCTCTGTATGCAAAGACACTCCACATGAATGGTCGGACTTAGAAAACGTTTAGAATATATTTCAAGTCACTTCTCAAGTGTACATAAATGCTCATTCTCTCATTCGAGGCACATTGTGAGTGCGTCCCACATTGATGTAGCTCTATAGCAAGGGCAACGAAAGTTGTAGTGACGTCATATCAGATTTGTAGTAAGGTTAGTGACCTCCGGACTTACCAGCAAAGCATCGCGGCTGCTGCAGCTAGCGGCGCACTTGTTTTGTGTCTCACATGTGTGCGAGAGCAGACGATACTCAGCACGACGTGTGCAAAGCTTTGTGATCACGTGACTAAGTCAGCTACACTGCTATGTACCTGCCCTACTCGGTGTTCACAAACAGAAACTGAAAATTATCCATATCAATAAGGTGTTAAATTATATAGCAAGAATGAAAGAATCTTGTTGCATGTATCGGGCTTCGAGCTATAAGAAACGCTTGCAGCAAAAAGTGCGCTAGCCACAAACATTGTGGCACCACCCCTTTAAGGCCTGGCTTCTCATATGCGAAAGCCTGCCAGCACGTAACTTTCTGACATGGCATCGTACTCTCTCCCTCTGGAGAGTGATGGAGAGGTTGCGAGAAGTTATTAAGACTAGATTTTATTTTGTTACAATCGTGATATTCATATATTTATTGTAAGTGCGATAAAATTGGTCATTCTTGAAAATTTTAGAATGAAAAATGTTAACTTAGCATGCCGCTTTTGGTCCCTGAAAAACTTGCAACAGGTCCTGGAAAATCCTTGAATATCCTTGAATTTTCACTTTGGAAACCTGCACGACCCCTGTATGCTTCATTGTCGTTATATTTCAATAGGGTTGAAAGGCATATATAGTACATGTACTTGTGAAACTGACGATAATTCACAAAATACACAGCGGTAATTTAAAGGGCTGCACCAACATCTAGGCAATACCGATTAGGCTTCTTCTCTATTTCATTTTCTATACTGTGAAGTCCCGAGCATGGGACCCCCTCCATTTTTCAGGAGATTTGAGATATGCGCCAATGGAATATCTGCACACACTGGACAGTGAGCTAGCGCTCCCTGTCCGCTCCTGTCGTTTTCACTGTTTCTATTCAGTGTGTTTGTTTGTCTAACGAAGGCAAACAAAAGCTGTGAATGTAAGCGTATTCAAAAAATCGTTTCAGTTGAAACGCGGGTTTTTATTCCTTAATTCTTAGCAGCTTTTCTGCTGCCGTCTTGAATATTGATGGTCGAGCGAGCAAGCCCCCTCCTCCCCTCCGCTTAATCATTGGATTATCCTTCACCGTAGAAAGAGGGGTGGATGGTTGCTAGGGATTGAACGTTAAGGAAGTAAGCTTATTTTTTGTCATGCTCATTTGTTGCTACTTAGCGGGTTCTGTCTGTCATGCTAATCTGAACGCAAGCTCCCTCCCATGAACATGCTTTTTGTGCAGAGCCGAGGTGTTGTGCCGCAGGAGAGTGAAAGAGCGTTTCCTTGCACGTGCGTGCATGATGCCTGGGCCATGGCAGCTGATCTCATTGGTCGGAGGCACGAACACTTTGTCGAAGAGGTGCGCCCTCCCCCATCACTCTTTCTCACCTTTGACTAGGTTGTGATGACAAGAATGTGTGTAATCGCAGTCGATGAACCATCTGATACGTCTGACGGATAGTTCCAGTATCATTCAATAAGACTGGGTATTCTATCTAATATATACTTTTAAAATGCCCTGTGGCGTATAGCACAAATTTTTTGAAGAGGTGGGTGCTGCCTACAATCCAAACCAAAATATAATCACTTTGACGAAATTTCACCGATCAGTTTTCAAGTGACTTACTCTAGTACGCATATTGCAACACACAACACGAGGCCAATGATTTCACAGAGTACGTCCACTTCAAACAATAAAGGTGGCTTTTAGGTGAATGCTGTAAAATTAGCCGTAAGTGTACAGCGTTGCTCTGGTTAGATGTATAAAGGGGGCACTTTTTGAACATGGTGAGAAGACTCAAACAATTGGGGGTTGAGGTTTCTAAGGAAACGTGAGCCAAACATCATAGCTTAGCACGCAGCTTGAAATTCACATTTATGTCTCAATGTCACCTAGACATCACTCCCTCTTCTCTCTACAAACAATGTCATATGCCCACACTACTGCGCCATGTACCCAAGTCCACAGCCATTAGCTGATTTTAGCATCATGAGCGGCATAGTTAATAGAGCTGCCACAAGATCCCACCTCATGTTCACGCACAGGCTTGCGGTCATACTGAAAGTAAGCTGCATGTTCAAAGAAAGAGAATGCAGAAGTGCTCTCAAGTTCATGATGCACGCTGACAGAGGGACCCATTTTTTAACCCATTGTCGTCCCCCTCATTGCGTAGCTCTCAGCACGCTCGCTGGGAGAAAACGAGAGAAAAAAGCTCTTGAAGTGTGCAATAAATCTCTGTGATTCGGCTCGTACTTAATGATTTATAAAAATATTTTCACGGTGAAAATCACAAAATGTCGTGCGCCGATAGTATTCTTTTATAACTAGGAAAAGTGTTGCTGGGCCTCTGTAATGGAACGCCTTTTTATGATGCATTTTCTGAAGCACTAGTACATATTGCCAAAAAGTTTGAGAATGTGTATCTCAAACTGTCTTCACCCTCCAGGTTCATTTATACAGACCACAGTTATAGAGTCACTGGCTATATTGCAGTAGGTGTTGTAAAGTTGGCACTGCAAAAAGTTTAATTAACAGTACTTTGTTAATTAGTAGATATGTCAGTAAGTCAAAGTGAAGTAGCCAATGGGAAGCAGCTTTTACATTGAAACTGATATGTGGATTAACCTCCACAGCTTTTGATTACAGCCTTCACACGCATGTCCAGAAGTGCGCTCAGCATGTTCTACAGAAGACCACAAGCATTTCTATTAGCCTGATTATGCACCTTATACAGTGTAGCAGCTTGCAACTTTATCCATCCTTACTGAAAAAAATATTTTTCAACAACCAAGTCGAAAGTGTTGCTCTTCACCACTCATCACACAGAAGACATGTGATAGGCTCTGTATTAGTTTTCTTGAGGCATTCTGTAAATTGTGTGCACTTCGTTGTAGTTGTAATCTTTCTGGTGTAAATGATTGATGATTGATATGTGGGGTTTAACGTCCCAAAACCACAATATGATTATGAGAATGTAAATGAGTATAAATGTAAATGAGGTGTAAATGAGGTGAATGTAAATGAGGTGTAAATGAGTATAGTCTGCAAGAACACGAAGCCCTAGTTTTAGTCTACAGGTATTCAGTGTTCTGTCAGTTTAGCATTCTCAATTTCTTCTACCATTTTTCTGCTCAATTATTTACTTTTATAATCAAACACCTTTATAAGAGACGCTGATGTAAGAGACAAATGGATATAAGAGACACTAGTATGCCTTCGTTAAAATATGGGGGATAGGAAAATGCGTACGAGGTCCCCTGCTTATAAGAGACATCTCGTATAAGCAAAAAAAAAAAAAGAATCACTGCCCGGAGCATGCCTCTTATAAAGGGGTTTAACTGTACTTGCTTTTAACATGCTTTTTCCTTTTTCAGGCATTTTGGACTTATGTGAGCTTTGTGCTTGAAGTAGTCTGTCCACAGTCCAGCAGGGACCTTGAACTAGACCTCAGTAAGTGAAGCATTCTGAAACTTTCAAAACAGCTTAAAGGGACACTAAAGGCAACTATTATGTCGACGTTGCTTATTGACATAGCCATCCAGAAACATCATAGTGTTAGTTTTGTGCCAAGGAAGGGCTTATTTTGAAATAAAATAATGTTTTAGTGGTCCGCATCGGATTAGCGCACTTCAAGTTACTTGCCTCAAAAAGCGGTCCGGCCCACGTCACTGTTGCCATGCACAACGTTGCCCGGCTTTACTGCGCGGTCACCGACACTAGAAGACAGAACGAAAGCAGCAGGAACCACAGCAGAAACATGGCCATTGATCAATTTCCTGCTTTAGCTCCGAGGTGGCAGACGTGTTTTTGGTTCAACTGCGCCCCGCTAGATAGCACGACCTGTCCCATGTAACCACGCGAAAATTGAATTTTCTAACTACTCGTGCCATTCCCCACAGTCCCGCGATTATTTTTTTCATGAATCAAACAGAAATGAACAAGCAGCATTTTATTGTGTCTCTTGATGCATACAAGGTTCTTTGTTTGGTGCAGCTAGATCGATTAGTGATTAATTGTTGGCGGTTCGTTTGACGTCATCGAGATCATTTTGAAAATGTCCTACTGAGGCGCATGTATTCTTGTGCATTTACCTTAATTTCTCGGTAAGTAGGGCACTGCTGTTGATAATATTGCTACGTAGGTGTTGGTGCCAGTATCAACTAAAGGACGCTTCTAGCCATAGAACAGGTTGGAGTGTCTCGGGCTCAGAAACGATTGACGATTGTGTTGCACTTGCCTTAGGGCGTCTGCAACTTAAATTGCAACTCTATGCGTATCATTTTGGTGGAAGTGCTGCTGGGTGTGTCTCTACGGAAGTCGGAGCTGGATCTCCGCAGCGCACGTCACATCGGTTCTGCTGCTATGGCTAACGGCAATGTACCAGCCGCTCAGGCACTAGGGCAATACCTGATGCCTCCGCTACGTGACCCGGGAGTCTTCACAGGCACGGCAAGGTCGACGTCGATGAGTGGCTGTCGATGTACCAGCGCATCGCCAACTGTTACAGGTGGGACCCAACGCTTATGCTGGCGAACGTAATATTTTACCTCGGCGACACGGCTAAGGCGTTGTTTGAGACGCACGAAGCCGAACTCGCAAGTTGGGACATCTGTAAAGAAAAGTTACGAGATCTTTTTGGGAAACTTATCGGATGCCAAGTGAAGCCCGGAAGGAGCTCGCGTCCAGTGCCCAGACGTCCATTGAATCGTACATTCGCTACGTTCAGGATGTCCTGGCACTTTGCCGAAAAGCCAATGAGTACATATTGGATGCAGGTAGGGTCGGACACATCATGAAGGGCATCGCCGAAGAAGCGTTCAACTTCTTGTTATGTAAGAGCTGTACAACAGTTGACTACGTCATCAAAGAGTGCCACATCTTTGAGCAAGCAAAAGGCAAGCGCATCGTGCAACGCTTCCACGTGACCGGCTTCCTAATACGGCTCCGGCCTTGTCCTGTAACGAACCAGCGTCGCTGCATGAACCAGCATCACCAAGTTTGACGCAAGCCATAGGTCGCTAACTTGGGGCTATGGCTCTGAACTCTCGTGGTCCCCACATGCATGACAATCTGGCAATCTTGCTCATTCAAGCTGTTGTTCGCCAAGAAATCACGAATATGAACATACCATCCGCCGGTAGCCCATGTCCCACCTCAACCGCCCCGATTATTGCCTCTGCTATGCCCCGACAGTATTCCGCAAACCGGTACCGAAACCCATCTGAGTGGCGAACGCCGGATGACAGACCAATCTGTTTCGTGTGCTCCCGGATCGGCCATATCTCCTGCCACTGACGTAGCCGCTGAAATTCATCGCCTCGACCATATACTGACCGTCGTTATGAACACTCAGCTCGTCCTCTGTCGCCACACGCCGAATCATCCTACGCTGACCCTGCTGCTCCTCCCCGGTTCGCCACTAGCCGTTCATCCTCTCCGCAGCGCCCTCAGTCCTGTTCGCCTACATCTCAGCGATCCCCGTCCTCATCCTACCCAGGGCGTTCCTCGAGAAACTAACCAATGCAGCCCCGGAAGGTGAGGCTGGGTTGACGACACTCACTGCAAAATCTCTATTGACCCTCGCCGATAAACTAAACTTGATCGAAGTTTTTGTTGATCATGTGCCCGTTAAAGCCCTTATTGATACTCGAGCTCAGGTGTCGTTCATGCACTCTGACCTTCGTAGCCGTCTTCGCAAAGTGCTAACGCCCGCCGAATCGCCTGTCCTACGAGTAGCCAACGGCAGCACAACTGCCGTCATAGGAATGTGCACCGCCCGTGTTACCATCGCCTACCACTCAACGTTAGATCTGTTCACTGTACTTGCGGAGTGGCGTCACAATGGGATTCTCGGAATAGACTTTTTGACTGTTCATTTCGCGCTTATCGACTGTTCAACCGGGATTCTTAGGCTTGAGCTACTCCAGTGCTGTGCCGACGCCTGCGCAGATGTCCAGCCCCGACTTCGCTCCACTGATTTTGTTCGGCTGTAACCTGGCGCTGCGACTTATGTCCCCATGTCGCCTTGCCCACCACTTCAGAATGGTTATACGTCGTATCTCCACTTTATGCCATCACGCGAGAACGTCAAATAGTTTCTCTTTAGCTCCATCATTACGCTCACCAACAACCGCGCTTGGCTTCCTCTCCTGAACTTTGGCTCGCCACCAAAAGCTCTTCCTGAGGGCGTATCTGCTGCTGTGTTGTTCCCTTTGGACGACTCTGGAGTATGTGAACTTAGCCATGAACAACCATGAGTGTTTGCTCAACCTTCAGCTCCGACGACGCCATCTAATGAGAAGTTCAACAAAATGATAGCTCTTGACCTACGACCTTCTTACGCTGACGCCCTCCGTCGCGTTTTGATCACTTACGAATACGTATTTGATTTCGACAACCGCCCGCTAGGTCGAACCCACATCATTACTCATCTGATCCACACTGGCGATACTCCAACCTTCCATAGGCGTCTTTATCATGTGTCGGCAGCAGAACGTCACGTTATACAAACTGAGGTCAAGAAAATGCTAAGGATCTTATCCAGCTCTCTTTCAGTCCATGGGCATCCCCTGTTGTTTTAGTAAAAAGCTGAATTCAGCTACAGCTGAATTCTGCGAAATGTCATTTCGGCCGTCGTCAGCTTTGCGTCCTCGGTCGCCTGGTGGATGCTACTGGCATACAGCCTGATCCCGAAAAAGTGCGTGCAGTCCGCGAGTTTCTAACTCCTCCTACCGCTTCTGATGTCCGAAGTTTTCTGGAGCTGTATTCCTATTTCAGACAATTTATTGAGAACTTCGCCGAAATCGCTAGTCCTCTCACCGATATTCTCAAAAAAGACGGCCCTTTCTGCTGGGGACCTGAGCAAGCTCAGGCATTTTCCACGCTTACAAGTCGCCTTGTCAATCCGCCAGTTCTGGGTCATTTTGACCCATCTGTGTGCGCGGAAGTTCCTACGGATGCAAGTGGCCATGGTATTGGTGCTATTTTGTATTAGCGATAAGAAGAGCTCAATTGTGTAATCGCTTGTGCTAGCATCCTTCTTTCAGCCTCAGAGCGCAATTACTCGATCACAGAACGTGAATTTCTAGCCCTTGTCTGGGCAATAGCCAAGTTTCGCCCATATTTGTTTGGACGACATTTCACCATGGTAACAGACCATGATGCCTTATGTTGGCTCTACTCACTTAAAGATTCTACGGGACGCCTCGGTCGCTGGGCTTTACGCCTCCAAGAATACACATTTTTTGTGTCCTACAAGTTTGGACGGCTACACAAGGATGTCGATTGCCTCTCCCGCTATCCCGTCAACACCATCTGACACCGCCGAAACTTATTCAGATACCTGTGTTTTGTTGCTCAGAGATTTCGTACACATACCGACAAGCAGTGCCGCGACCCATGTTTGCGATCCCTTATACAACGCCTCACTTCAACACTACGGGACGGCTTCCTCTATATATTAGTTCTGCATGATGGTACTTTATATCGATGCAATAGAACACCACTTGGCGCTGAACTGCTTCTCGTTGTTCCTCATCATTTATGACCGACTATCCTCTTGCAATTACACGATGCTCCCACCGCTGGGAGCATCGTCGCTTCTTGCGGCTCTGCCAATGTCACAAAAAACCTTCTCTTTCTCCTGCTGAGTACCTTGAGCCCATACCTATCCCCACTGAACCCTTCTTTCATGTTGGCCTGGACTCCCTTGGTCCTTTCCCGGCGTCGTCTGCGGGAAACAAGTGGGTGGCCATGGCGACTGATTGTACGACATGTTATGCCATTACGGGAGCCCTTCCTACCATCTGTGCAACCAATGTCGCTGACTTTCTTCTTCATCAAGCCATCTTACACAATGGTGCCCTGCGTCAGCTACTGACTGATCAAGGTCGATGTTTCCTTTCGAAAATTGTCGATGACCTTCTCTGCTCTTGTGCAACGTCTCACAAGTTCAGCACCACTTAACATCTGCAAACAAACTGACTTACTGAGCGCTTGAACCGTACACTCACGGACATGTTGTCCATGTACGTGTCTGAGGACCACCTGGATTGGGACTGCACGTTACTATTCCTGACGTGTGTCTACAATTCGTCGCGTCACGACATTACTGGTTATTCTCCGTTTACTTTTTTTTATGGCTGTGACCCGCTCTTGCCTCTCGACTCACTACTTCCTTCCGAGGCAAATTCAACCACATACTATGCTCACGGCGCCATCGTTCACGCGGCTATAGCTCGTCGTGTTGCCTGTGGTCGACTCCTGGCATCTCAGGCCAACCAAAAACGCCATTACGACAGTCACCACCGCGACATGAGTTTCAACCCCAGCTCCCTGGTCTTGCTCTGGCTGCCTTTGCATCACGTTTGCTGGAGTGAAACACCTGCCGCGCCACGTCGGGCCTTACCGAGTTCTTCGCCGAGTTACCAAAGTCACATACGAGATCTCGCCGCTAACCCCAAAGCCTTCATCCACCTCACCAGCTACTGAGACTGTGCATATTTCCCGACTCAAGCCCCACGTCACGCTCACTGATCTGATGCACCGAGACAGTGCTTTTGCAGTCGGGAGTGAATGTATCGTAGGTGATGGTGCCAGTGTGAACTATAGGACGCTTCTAGCCATAGAAGAGGTTGGAGTGTTTCGGGGCTCAGAACCAATTGTGTAGCACTTGCCTTAGGGTGCCTGCAACTTCAAATGCAACTCTACGCGCATCAATATTGTCATTTTAGATGTTGTCATGCATTGAGCTTTCACTCTGACATAAATTGTTATTTGACTTTAGTGTTTTTTAAGGACAGTTTATGAATGCAACCCATGTAGAGGAAAATAAAAGGGGATGTAACTCACGTAGAAGAAAATAGAACTAGCACAGTGACACATTTCAGTAAGCTTTTGCACTCAATGGAACACAGTGGAGCAGTTGAAGTTTGCAGCACTCTCTGATCAACATATGTGCCTATTAAGTCATATCCTGATCATCACAATGTTGATGTAAGTGAAAACTTCTTTTGCATGAAGCTTGCAGCTGAAAAAGAATAGAACAAGCAGTTGATCTAATTTTTTTATATCTATGAGATAAGTGTTAGCTTTAAAAGTCTTCTTAAATGGCAAGCTTGTGCGAATGTGAACCTTTTGGTTTGAAGTGTGGTGAAAGTGACTTGCTGTAGGGTTTGGTTCAAGCTCTTGCATGCTGAACAGCCAGGTGCCAATCAATGTAAAGAACGTAACGTTGTTCACTTGCAAAAAAAAAGAGAGAGAGAAGTGTTTCATCTCAAGAAACAATTTGTGAAGTGGCACTATATTGAAGTTTCGTGCAAGAACACAAGCAACGCAGCATTCCTTACAATTAGCACTAGCCAGCAAAAGCAAAGTTTGTTAACAGGCTTTTACATGTTGGTTAGGTTCGATGTGCATGAAACTTTGTGATAGTTGAAGCCGCGAGGAAGCTTAGGTGCAGTGTCACAAATATGGAGCCACTTGTTAAAATACCTGTTGGCAACTGTGAACAAATTACTTGTGTTTGGCTCATATTGGCTTTGAGCACTGTCAGTGGCACTGACAAAACCTAAATTGTTGTTTGTATTTTTTTTTTCAGTTTGTTTTTCATCCTTATCACTGCCCAAATGCAAATTTGATTATTCAGCTGGTGTTCGCAGTTGTGTGACTGCTACATGATGGAAATGGCTTATACTGTTTTCTATCAGAAGATAGAAGTTCATGCGATGTGGCTCTTTATGTTGAAATGTTTTCACAGAGAAAGCAGAGAGCATAATGCTTTATCGTTATAGAAGCCACCAAAAACATTGTTTAATTATAATAGTCAAAGCCTAAGCACAAAAATTAAAATTGGAGAGAAATGCTGAGGCATTACAGGTAATTTTTATCTCTCATTCCTTTCTGATCTACTCTGTTAATGCACAAACCTGCAAGTAGGTCATCACCTGCACTGAAGAGCTTTGCTCAAAGTATTGCCTTAAGCTTGAAGGGGGGGTGCCATCAAATTTCGAGGCTATAACAAGCCTCTCGTGGGTGTCTTCTGTATGCAAGGACCCTCCACACTAATGATCAGACACAGCAAACGTTTAGAATGTATTTTGATTCACTTCCAAAATGAAATGCTCATTCTCCCGACCAAAGCCATCGCAAGCACATCCAGCACTGTCGTAGCTCTGTAGAAAGGGCAATGAAAGTTGTGACGCCAGATCAGATCTGTAGTGAGCGCAAGCATGCACAGGCTTCCCCTTCAGGGGGGACGCAGCTTCATCGCCCTGCCACTCCTTCCGATTAGTATGTTAATGTGTGGGGCTGACGTTAAAAGCTCTAGATGTTTAGGGCCGATTCTAAAAACCTCAAGTGACTATGGCCATGGTACTTGCATCGCAATGGAGTCGAAATCAAAGAACCCCAGGGGGTTAAAATCATTTGAAGCCTTTCACCACAGCATACCGCCTAATTAGTATATTGGGGTTGCAGCACATAAAACATCACCAGTAACTTATTACACAGATTAAAAATCTGATAGTGTCACAATGTGATTGCGTCCTTAGATTGCTTGTTAATACCTCTCAAGATCCATGCTGCTCGCCATGATTTATGCCGTCTTATCTCTAGCTCATTTAGACCCCAGCTTTGTTTTGAAAACTGCGACAGCTGTACAAAACTGAAGTTCAGTCTGAGTGCACGCATTCTCTTCTAAGTTGACAGAAATGTCGAACAGCCTGTCCTTGTACTTTCAGACGGTTTCTGCTTGTCTTCATTTTCTGTGAACGTGGAAGAAAGCGAGCGAGCTGCCTTCTGTCTGTGGATGCTCAGTGCCATTGCAGAGGCCAGCAAGGACACACTCTGGAGCGCCAAGGTATAACAGCGACAAACCGCATTAGTATACAGTAGCATTGTGCAAAAATCCGAACAAATACTACAGTATTTGAATTTGCTTTCATGCGAATTTAAATTGCGTGAAATTCTGAAGTATTTGAAAAACAAACGAATAGTAAGTGCATATAAGTCTACATGTAACTCCCCTGTAAAGGTGGCTTCACTGTGGTGCAGGGTTGCTATTACCGTGAGTATTATTATACGAAAGAAATCTACACAAGTGCAAAGCCGCACCAAAAGGTTAAGTGAACATATTACGCCCACACTGATTCATCATTTCTTAAGTTTAAAAGCTTGGTATACTTTCTTATATGCTGTAAGTGCAGAAAATTTTAGAACTTCACATATTTTATAGATTATCTTGTGCATTCACCAAAAAGTCAAATTCTTCTACTATACAAAGTTGCTTTGACTTATTTTGAACCAAAAAGAATGCTGTTACCGCATGCTTTTTTCAACGGAATAAAATGCCTTATTTACCCACATAATGAACACACTTTTTCTCGAAAAATTGGAGCAAAGTTAAGGGTTCCTTGGTTCCGAAACCAAGTCGGTTCCGAAACGTTGGGTTTCTTCAAAACATTTGGTTGGAGTCTAAATCATCTCCCAGTTTCATACCCAACCAGACAGACTTCTGTCGAATGTTTTCGTTCAAAGTTAAGGGTGCGTTTGTTTTGAGGGGCAAATTTTTTATGAAAACTTTTTCGGGTTGAGCAAAAAAATGTGCTTATGCGAAAGAAAAAGTTAGGTCCCTTAGTCTTTCGCAATATACATATCTGTGCTCTGTTTGAAAACAGCTTCTTTGTTGCACTTCACTTATCATTGTTGGTTGAAAACACTATTTTCTGCAAGCTGTCCCTGCACCGCCCACGCGTGCCATAAAGGCATTTCGCGTCTATCTTTTCTCGCAATGGCTTAACCACAATAGTAGTGTCTGCTGTGATTTTGAGTGGCGCCCAGAAGCGTGTGCTACAATGCTACAGCACACTTGGCGAACTTCGCAGCAATCTCGCATGATGTCCGCCATGAAGCCGGTGACATTTTAGCAAGTAACCAGCATTGCAGCAAGCTGCCACTGAAGTGTCAAAACAAACAAGATTTATGATAACAAGATTAACAAGAAAATATGGCCGCCACCTCGCTGTCCACATAAGTTACTGCCAAAAAAAGGTAGCCCATATCTTGCTTTCTTTGAGGTAAGCGCAGATAATGAGCATGAAGAGCAAATTGCAACCCAAGCAGGAATCGGGAGTGCTACCATGTTGCTCAAATAGTCATGATCTTTTCAGATCGGGCCGAGGTGGCCGAGGGAGGTCGGCATGATAATAAAAACAGAAGAGATTCAGCGGGCAAGCAGGCGCCAGGTTTCAGTTAGCAGTACTGCAGCAGATGAATGTAGGGGTTGTTTACTACAAAGCGTAAAAAAAAAATTCAAATTCTTGCGACTGAAGTTGGAGGTGTGTTTATTATGTGAGTGCGTTCATTATGCAAGTAAATACGGTATACTATATATTGTGCAGGTTGTTTAGGTCATGACTATTACGCTTATTTTTCTTTCTATCATGTGATACGGTAAAGGTTATGAACTCGGATTGCACGAGGCTAGAAAAAATGTCCAAATTAACTTTATATCAATTGCTGAAAGTAGCACGAAAACTGTAGAGACATATCTGCTGCATCAATACACTTTCATTTTCTTGATGAACTTGTAAATTCTGTGCTTACTATACTATAAAAGCAGTGTAGAAGCTGCGATTTTCGCCACTATGGAACTGCGGCTCAAGAACACCCTGGCTTAAATAACCCAAAATGCACTAATACAAAACTACCGGAAATGTCGTTACCGCTGTTCTAGAGTCGTTAGCTCCCACATGGCTTATCCTATTATGCTGGCGATACAGACTGCGCCACCTAGTTTTCATGATTCGCAAACGCCGTTTTGATTTTTATGTCCTACTTTTGCGCTGCTTTATGCTCAACGTGCTATGATAATCGTTCGAATACTGGTTACGATTAAATATGACCAAACTAACAAGAGTTTGGTGCCATCGAACATTACATAAACTTGATGGGACCAGAGAACGCAACGCATGCAAAATATCTGTTGTTCTGAAAAACAGGCATTGAATTAACAAGCTTTTACTATACAAGTTGATCCCGGATATATCGAACTCGGGTACATAGAATTATTTGCTATATCGAACAGTTGATCAATCAATCACCTTGAATTTCCCATGCAAAAATATGGGGCTGTTGCACACGCATATCGAACTCTCGCAGAGCGTAACATCCGTTATATTGAAGCCTTCGCTGGGCCAAAGCCCAGAAAGTACATTATTCTGCTGATTTTTTGGCTGCGTCCTAATAAGTCTCTTTTCCTCCTCGTGTGTAGGTGATGAAAAGAAGATGTAATTCGTTGGCTGCGCAGAGTTTGTGAGTGCACCGGCAAGTGATGCGTGATATGTTGTAGGTTGTAGCACGTGGACACAGTGTTTGGAAAAGGAGTAATTGCCAAGAACACCACAGTCACATGAATGCAAAGTAACTCGGCGGCCTCGGCGCAATGTGCGCATTTCCTTGCTTGTTTGCACGCACATGATAGCATGCAGGCCCGAAAAGCATGCCCTTCGAGATCTGCAACCTAGTGACTCATCTTTGGCATTTTTGGTTATAAAATACACATGTCGGAGGCTAGGCTTCTTCTTTTTGCTTTACGCTTGCTGCTGCAAAGCTTATAGTGTCATCGCCATTGCAAGATATCAGTGGTGCGGTACTTGGTCGTTTCGTCTTTGGCCTCTGTTGTTTGTGGGCAGTGTTGTCACTTTCGGCTTGTGCACTTCAGTAGTTCTCGCTTTATTACGGTTCAATATTTCATCGAGAGTCGAAGTAAACATTGCATCAATCATAGTGATAAAAATGGTGACTGGTGCTTGAAAGGACGTCTAGCAAAGCACCGTCTTGCACAGTTTGCTCATGGGCTTTAGTGACAGGTGACGACTCAGCATGTGTCATCTTAGCTGACAACGGCGTACGGTGCCTCAGTGAATTTCGCTACTTATTAGCGTTTCCAGATGCCACCTCGGACGGGAGTGCAGAAAGCGACTTCATTGGTGCAGATGACGATGTTGCTGTTTCTGACTGCATTGATAAAAATATGATGGCTGACGTTGGCGGTGCCGCGGTGGTCGACCCGTGCAGTTATTAACATGCTACACCGCCGCTAAAGAACATTACCGCACTACAGAGCTTGCATCGGCGTGGCTGAAGGGGCTGAATTTGCTTATTTTGAAGGCTTGAATGTTCGATTAATGAGGATGACTTGATGAACATGATGACACCCAAAAAGCAAGACAAGTCTACAGACTATATTTACGTAAAATAAAGTGCGGTAACTTGCAAAAGAAGTTTTCACTTTTTCTCAAGCATGCTGTCAGGGAATGAATCATCATGTTAACACTTATTACGATTCCCGAAAGCCAATTCAAGATTTGCAGTGCGTTAATAGAAGCCTTAAATATGCATATTTTCATATGGGTGGTTTGGAGTGGTAAACTCCTCATATCAATCAAATATGCATATTTCTTATATCAAGTTATCTATATATTGAACTATTTCACGAAACCCCTTCGAGTTCGATATATCTGGGATCAAGTGTATACTATTCAAATTCGTTTGCAAATTATTCGACCAAATCACCATTTGCTTCAAATATGCTTCGAACCTAAACTTTACTATTCTCACAGGCCTAGTAAACAGCAAATGCTGGTACTTAATCTCTTCACTCCTGATAATTTCTTATAACAATCTCAAGAGAGTCTGCATTCCTCAGTTCCGGCCCACTGAATGACTAATCTGGAATCATAGAAAGTCAAGTTAATTGATTGTGATTTGTCATGAAAGAAGGTAAGGCGTGTTAACGTGGACACAAGAGATTAGAAGAAAAAAATGCGACGAGACAATAGTGTTGTCCCATTCTTTTCCCTTGTGTTTGTGTTTGAGTGCCTTGATATTTTTCTTGATAAACCGGGAATTTTCTTAGAGACTCTGCCGACTGTTGTGTACAGCTCTCATAGAATGGAACGTGTGTCTGTAAGACTGAGTAATGCCCTTTTTTTTTCATTTGCGTTGTAATTATATTTTGTCACATTGCCGCATTATCGGCTCATAAATTGATAGAGCCCCAGAATTTAGTGACTGGATTTATAGCAAGCCAACACGATCATTGCGAGCAAGTACACTCACTGTTCAGTACTTAATGTTTTGTCATATTTCATTTCACGAGCGCTGTGCTCATATGTGTTAATGCTTCTAGAAGGGGACATGGCTTGAGCCACAGTTTCTTTTCTACATCGGACCCCATGTTTTAGGACCCGTTCAGTCCCTCCCTTAATGGGTTACTATGGGAAGGAACAAAATTGGTCTCGGAACTTTTGGTTCAGTTCGAAAACTGCAGCGGGAGACATTTCCTCTTCTAGAATTTTTTTTCACCCAGCCGGGCATGTGTTCCAGAATGTTCACGTTTAATTGGCAGCACTTGTTGACCAAGAAAGTTCTCACCATCGTGCTGAGCTGAATAATTTTGCAGTACCAACCATGAGAACATGTTTACAAGATCTCGACATCTTGCTGCCGTGTCTATATCTTGATGTGCTTGCGTTTGTCCACAGGGAAGGAGCAACTATGCCACAGCCCAGAAATTTGTGATGGCCGTGACAGCTGATGCGGTAAGCTTGGAGTTTTTCTTCTGCGCACTTGAGGTCCCTGCATCTTCATAATTTTTTTGTTGTCATCAATGCACTACTTTGCTTTCCCTCTATCTCTCCCCTTCTCCCCATACCATCATTTGCTCCCCTCTCGTTACGGTTATTGCGTGATGTCGAAAAACATTGCATGCCACAGAGATGGAGGAGCTGTGGTCTAAAACTCACGAAACTAGAGTGATAACCAGAATCAAGGCAACTCCAGTTACAATGGCCTAGTTATCAGTATTGCTACATTGCATGTGCTATATGTTGGGCAGGTCCTGTACCGATTGATGAGCGTACGAATGTTTGAAAGTGTCGAAAAATACTGCGGCTGCATATGGCCATGCGTCTCGCTGTGCACCATTTGCAGAAGGAGTCGCTGATGCGAGTGGCCGTGCGTTCCTGCATGAGTCTGCACAGGGTCTGGGAGCCGAGCATTGATCTCCTGCAGTCACTGCTGGACTTTTTCCTGAAGAACTTGGTATGTGTGGGATGAGAGGTTTATCTCGATGTTCATCTTGAGCGCTTTCAGCCCGTGAAGTCGCTCAGCTTAAGAATTCGCTAATGCAGTATAATCCACTTATAACAATACCGTTTTTAACTATGTATTAGTTATAACAATCAGAAGCTGCACTGTCAAGTTTTTCTATGTTTTCTATAGTGGTACAGTCGAATTTAATTAATTTGAACATGATTAATTTGAACTTCCGGTTAATTCCAACTCACTCTATGATCCTGTCAAGGCTATGTGTATTCCAATGGGTGAAAACGCCCTGTAATTTGAAAGCGCAAGCACTTGTAACAGATAATTTGAACATACTGCACTTTGAAAATGCTCTCAGCCCCACGCCCAATCCCGCGGCGGCACCTCCAACACGTCAACGCTGCGTGCGAAGGAGGATAAGAAGAAAAGGAAAATTAGGCTGTGCCGCAATGTTTGCTCTTTCTCAAATGCCGATCTGCGATGCGCCTGTGCCATGCTTCACCCTTTTTCGTCCCTGCCACGTAGAGACCCTTCTCCTTTCAATGCGGCTCGGGAAAAGGGATAGGAAAAAAAAAAGAAAGCTGTCGCGGTGTGTTGGCACTCTTTGTAATGCTGATCTGCAACGTACCGGTGCCACGCTTTCCCCTTTCTCGTCCCTGCCACGTAGAGACCCTTGTCATTTCAATGCCGTGCGTGAAGAGAGCAAAAAAAAAAAAAAAAAAAAAAGCTGCTGCGGAGTGTTGGTTCTCTCTCAAATGCTAATCTCCTTCTCTGCGTGGAGACGGTCCTCCTTTCTCGCCATGTGCTGGCCCCGCTCTGGCTCTGGCGCACAGGGTAGCAGCGGAGAGGCAGTCGTTGCCGTCGTTTTTAGAGAGTGTTGGAGCTCGACATTGCCGCGCGCAACTTCTCTTCTCAGGAGAATGTTGAAGCCAAAGTAGAAGTGCTTTGCAAACTGCGTGCGAAATTGATTGACTCGCTGCAAGGCAAAGTGTGCAGACGTGCATCACCGATTATTTCAATTAATGACGTATGTCCTGTGATTTGTGAATAAATGTAAGTCTTCTGAAACTTCCCCCTCATGTGTTAGTTCAATGCACATTCGCCACTGCATGGTGAGCCCTCCATTCATTTAGCCTTCATTAATTCGAACTTTTTATAATTCGAACAAATTTGCGGGCCCTTTCGAGTTCGAATTATCAAAATTCGACTGTATCACCTACTTACAGCAATGCCCACACACCGCATTATCAGTTATAATAATAATTTAATAATAATTTTTATTTCCATCAGCGATGGAGGAGACTGCGGGTAAAAGTTGCTTGAAAGCACAAGCAACTTGACAGAGGCCCGCAGCCACCCCTACAGTGCAGGCAGCGATGGCAAACATTCACATAAAGAGAAAAAAAAAAAAATCACAAGAAACACATATTCGGAATACAGATATGTCTAAAAAAAAAACACATCAGTAAGGAAGAATGAAAAAAAGCAATATTTTACACTATTTACTATGTTAGCATGAATTGATGAAATGCTCGCGCAGTGTTCGTGCAGAAGTTATTTTCAATTCAATGTGTAATTTATGAAATGAATTTAAAAGGGTTGGCAGCGTGTATGATAGCTTCTGCATAGAATAGCTTGTCCGCGCAGTGACCACCTTCCACTGTTCTATGTAACGAGTGCCGTATGAATGGGTGTTTTTGGCAAGATGAGATAACTCGCGGAAAAACTTTAGGTTTTCTTTTATCTCTCGTTTGAACGCTATACTTAACTTGTAATTGTATAGGGTAAACACGCGGATGACATTTCCCTTCAAGAATAAATCTGAAGTATGGGAATTGTAGGGTACATTGAAAAGCGCCCGTAGAAATTTTTTCTGCAGTACATGAAGTCTTTCAAGATTTGTATATGTCGTCGTACCCCATACCAAAAAACAATAATACAAGGAAGAAAAAAAGAGCGCATTGTAAACAAGAAGCTTTATTTTAAAAGGTAATATCAATCTGTGACGCGCCATCATACCAACCACACGAGATAGCTTGCCTAAAACTGATTCGATGTGTAAATCCCAAAGCATATTTTGTGTGAAGGTAACTCCCAGTATTTTCACACTACTCACTATTTCTATTGCTTCATTTGTGTAAAGAAGGGTGATGTGATCGCAGGTTATCTGCTTAGATTTTGGTCTGAAAATCACGGCTTTTGTCTTTTAGTATTAATTTGCAAAACGTTTGCTGCTGACCATTCTTGGAGCGCCCTTAGAGCAGTGTTGGTGTTATTCTGAAGGCTACCAAGTTCAGGTGACGAAAAAAATAGGCTAGCGTCATCAGCGTACATAACGTATTTCGCATCACTGTAGATATTTACTAGGTCATTGATGTAAACTATAAAAAGAAATGGGCCGAGAATACTACCTTGAGGAACGCCTCTGCTGATGTGTTTTAAGTCTGAACGGTAATGCTCAATCTGGACGTACTGATGGCGATGATCTAGATACGACTTCACGAGGTTTAAACAGTGCCCGCGAATACCATAGGTTTCAAGTTTTTTAAGTAGTATGGAATGATGGATACAATCAAATGCTTTACTGAAATCAATGTAAAGGCCGAGCACAAGATTCTTGCTTTCAAATTGTGTTAAAATGAATTCTTTTTGTTGTAGCAAGGCTAACTCAGTAGAAAGGTGTTTTCTAAATCCAAATTGGGCTGTAGATATAAGATTGTGCTTATCGAAAAAATTAGACATTTGCACGTGTATAAGTTTCTCCAGCCCTTTGGATAATACTGGTAATATCGAAATAGGTCTATAATTTTTGATATCGTTTATGTCACCTTTCTTAAAAAGCACAGAAACTCTTGCGATCTGCATCCTCCTGGGAAAGATAGCGCTCGCCAAAGACAGATTAAAGATGTAGGTAAGATATGGGCAAATTAAATCAAGCACATACTTGATTGGACGAACCTGCATGCCCTCAACGTCACAACTTGAGCTATTTTTAAGCGAAAGAAAAACTGACAGTACTTCAGACTCTGTAAATGGGCGAAGGAAAAAGGAAGATGGATTGCTATCAGGCATAAATTTTGTAATATCAGCAGATGCACAAGAATTAGAATTGCTCACAAAATAATCATTAAATGTATTCGCCAAATCATCGCCCCATATTTCGTGGCCACCAAGAAATAGCTTTTCTACACGTGGAGACGATTTACGGCGATTTAAGACAGTATTAAGCTTTTTCCATAACATATCGGGTTTTTTCGAGCAGCTATCAAACTCAGCTTGAAAATAGCATTTCCTGTGTGACCTTAGTTCTTTGTTTAGTTTGTTTCTAAGCGACTTGTATTCTTTCAATATGCTTGGTTCCTTACTTTTAATGAACTTGTGATAAAGCGCATTTTTACACTTAATTTTTTGTAACAATTCAGGGGTTATCCATGGTTTTCTTATTTTTTTACCCAATTTAAACTTTTTTTGTGGGAAGTGACGCTTATACACACGAGAAATTTCATCAATAAGTTTACTGTATGCAATGTCAACGTCGTCTATTTTCAGAATTTGCGGAATATCGCTAAGTAGCAATTCAGCTCTAAAATTATCCAAACCTGTTTGTGTAATATTTTGAAAAGAAATGTACTGATGCTTTTCATTTATCGTGAAATTTTGCTTTCTTAGTAGAGCAAATATTGGGAGGTGGTCACTAAGGTCCCACGTTATTACACCACTGTTGGCTTTTGTAGAATCGATATTAGTAATAAATAAATCTAACAGTGTTTCGCTTTCAGTAGTTACCCTTGTCGGTACATAGATTAAATTTTCGCATCCGTTAGAAGTCAGCATGGTTAACATGGCCTTTTGTGGTGCAGAAATGGTCAACAGGTCGATATTAAAATCACCAGCAGACACCAAATAATCGCCAGTTTCTGAAACAAATGATAACAGCTGTTCATAGAAACAAAAGAAACTAGGAAGATTTCCACTTGGTGGTCTATAGCAAACGGAAAACATACAGTCATTCACACGAGCTGTTATTATTTCAAAATCATCACAACAGATACAAAAGTTGGAAAGCAGCTCGCAGTTTACGTGCTCTCTTAGCAACAGCATAACGCCACCGCCTCGGCGATTAGTTCTGTTTACACAATACGATTGATAAGACGGAAATTTGAACAAATCACGATCATCCCTGCACCAAGTTTCACTAAGCATTACTGCATCAAACAGAAAATGAAAACCATTGATGAAGTCATTTATATCTTCTTCCTTGTTATAGAGTGAACGAACGTTTAGATGAAGGCACTTCAAGGAATGTGCGTGATGACTTGTCACAAAAGCGTCTAGCTCGTGTGGAAGAAAGGGACTTTGACTAGCCATTTTGAGGAATGAAATAATCTAGATACAGTCAGCAACTAGCAGGCTTAGGCGGGAAAGTCGGTCCTGTGACGCACTACTAACACGGAATCGCCGTCAGATTTGCGCAGCAGGATTTTCCCGTTCTTGTGCCATGCGTATTTGTACCGATTTTCCCTCGCCCATTCCTTAGCCTCTCGAAGCAGTTGCCGACTTTGGTTGGTCAAGTTCTCTTGGATGAACAGGCTTGATTTCTTTTCTCTCAGTTTTGACCGGTTATGCAGCCATTCGTCTCTAACAGATTGTCTGACATACCGAACGATTATACCTGGTGTTTTGCCAAATTTGCATGGGAGGCGGTGAATGGCAGCGACGTCTGCTGCGTCCAGTGCACAAACGTCAATCATGCTGGCAACAGAATTTACCTTTGCAAGCAAATTTTCACCTTCAGAGACGCTTACACCATGTATTTCCAAGTTAAACTTGCGGCTTCTCCACTCGAGCTCATTTAAATCGGCCTCAAGTTTTTTTGAAGCATCATCACTGGCGCAGGTGTCCTGTTCAAGGCGTTCAAGTCTTTTCCGTATTTCTTTCGTATCTTTTTCTTGTGCGGCAAGCCTTGTCAACATCTCATCGTACTTGTCCGACATGAGCTGTATCGACCGCTCGATGTTTGGCACTGTTTCCCTGAGCGGCAACAACTCTTCTAACTTCTGACTTATGCCACTGAGAATAGATCTGATGTCAACTTCAGCTTCCGGCCTCCCTTCAGTGATCTCGACACTTTTTCCACTATCTTTGCACGTAGAGCAAACCCACTTTTGCCTAGCCGATTCGGACTTCTTTTTATACTGTTTTTCTGATATGCCTGCACATGTTCCAATGTGAAAACAGTGGCTACACTCGCCACATGCCACCGACAATTCATCGGATTTAATGGCATCGTTACATGTAGGGCATGCATTTAGTGTCGACATAGTACCAGGAAATGTAGCACACAGAACAAATACAATTCACTTGGCAGCAGCGGCAGCACAGAAAACTCGCTAAGAACAACAAAGCAAATTTAAACCGGGCGTGAACTAACCTGCGCAAACAGACGAAAATCAGTAGATCTGCCGGTTCTGCCACCGCTGCTGCCAAAGAGCCGCTGTCCTCAGGGTCGGTGACTTTTATAGTGAAGCTCGGTGATGGTGGTGGCCCCCAGCGGTAAGATCGTCGGTAGCTTCAGTTGGAGATATCAGTTGATCCGAAGAAATCGCGGCGTGAAAATGGCACACGATGCGATGAAACTTGATAGCAGGGAGATGGTTTCCACACAGGCCACCGACAGGAAGGCAGTGGTCGACGAAAAAAATCTGCGCAAACAGACGAAAATCAGTAGATCTGCCGGTTCTGCCACCGCTGCTGCCAAAGAGCCGCTGTCCTCAGGGTCGGTGACTTTTATAGTGAAGCTCGGTGATGGTGGTGGCCCCCAGCGGTAAGATCGTCGGTAGCTTCAGTTGGAGATATCAGTTGATCCGAAGAAATCGCGGCGTGAAAATGGCACACGATGCGATGAAACTTGATAGCAGGGAGATGGTTTCCACACAGGCCACCGACAGGAAGGCAGTGGTCGACGAAAAAAATCTGCGCAAACAGACGAAAATCAGTAGATCTGCCGGTTCTGCCACCGCTGCTGCCAAAGAGATGACAATGAATTGTGGCTGTTATGACAATGAATTGTGGCTGTTGGGCATCCACAACAAAGGGTAATCGAATGCGAAATCCTTGAAAGGAAAGAATAAAATGAGAATTCAAGCGGCTGAGTTGCCACCCACAACTCTGCAACATTCCCCAGCTTCAAACTCGCGGTATGCTTCACCTTAACATATGTCGTGGCACTGCAGTAAAGCTGACTTTTGAAACTCGTTACAGCGGAGAACAGTAGTGGCTTCCTGTTAATGCACTTCTGGACATACAAGTGGAGTGCAAAGTTCAGACTTTGAAGAGTTTCAGCACCCCAAAACTTCAGGCATTGCCATGCATTGGTTTTACGGGGTTTGTGGTGGACCTGTGAAAGCGCCCGAATTTCCAAGCATATCCGAAAAATAGCAAACTATCTCATCCTTATCACTGGTGTCTGTCGGAACATTCCATCTGGTGTTACAGTTTTTTTTACAAGAGCCAATCGTCCCCTATTTTTAATTTTTTCGTGCTGCCCCTTCATAGCAATTATTTTCTATAATGATGTTATTTTCATGGCACTTGAGTATTCTGATAAGTGGGTTTGACTGTAGTTCTATCAAATGAACTTCAATACTTGTGCCAAACATGAGTGTTTATATTCCTTTGAATCTGTTCTGGCATTTGTCAGCACTGTTTTTTGTGATACATGAGTGGGTACCAATTAGCAAGAATTTTATTTGTCACTTGTGTGTGGCTTCCTGTGGAATGAGTGTGTGGTAGAAGAAAAGACTTGAGATCAAGACCACTGAAGCTTTTTCCATCCTAGATCACTATTTTGAAAGCGTGTCATTTGTTCCTATATATTCAAAATCCAACAAGTTTCACTTCACCTAAAGTCAAAAGCTGAGCTTGTCTTTTGAGCAATGTGCATTCATTTTTTAAACAATGTGTTAGCAAGTACAGGTTATATACCTTGGGCGACAATATATTATCGGAATGCTATTAGGTAGACACAAAGGAGCTAGCCTGTATAGTTGTTTGCTGATTGGCACATATATAGTTCTATTAATTTCCTTTTTGCAGAATGAAAATTTTCTCATCGGCTCATCTGGAGTGCAGGCATTTCAAGTGATCTGGTGAGAATGTGGTTGAAGTTTTTTGCGTTCAGGCACATGTTTAGCAGCTTGCCGTCAGCCATAATGTGGGGCTGCCTCATCTAAGGCAGCATATTTTACCATAGTATTAGTGTGTAACTGCATTAAGCCAAAACGTAATGGTCTGTCAACTCAAAGGTGATTGCTACAACCTTAATTATGTCATGGTTAAAATTTATTGTTTATTTACAAACTAAGGAGGAGTGGGTTGCAGTTAGCTGGGGCATACCCCTTTATAACGACCATGCGTGTTTTGACATTCATGGCAGTCTTTATAGCTTGAGTGAAGACGTATTACTTATTATGGTCAGCTGCTCTAGTGAAGTCAGCTTCTGTTGCAAATGTGTAGAGACCGGCAGGCAAATTTGAACAAGGCTGGGAGCAGAGGAGTGCAGTATCAATTAAATGAACAATTGTTAAGAGCAAGTTGTACTCTGGCATAACGCATATGTGTGCATGTCAGACTGGTTAAAATTGTGCTGGTATGGAACTGACTTCTATACAGTGGACCCCTTCTAATATGTTTCACATGAAACCAGGAAAAACTGAACAAAACAAGAAGCTCGCTATCACGTTAGCGTGCGGTTAAAATCGGGAAGAAGTGCTGCTAAATGAAACAGGAATGTCAGACAAGTACATTTTAGAAGAGCTTATTCTTCAATGAAGTTAGGGTCTTTGATGTAGATTTTTTTTGCGAAATGCACACCAAAAATGTGTATTTTTTTATTGCTAAAATCAATTCTTCAGGTGAGTCTATTTAAGAAAAAGATTGTGAAAAAGTTTTCTTAGTGACCGTAAAGTGACAAAAAAAATCTCTTGTGTTGTTACATGCACATGGTTTATTTCATGATAACAGCACGATAAATTCTAACAAAACTTATACGACCTAAAATTTACGCACTGCAATAAATGTTCGTGTATTTCACAAACTTAGAAAACTAAGAGTGCGAAGCGGTATCAAACAAAGACATTGAGGGAGAAAGCCGCTTTTCATTCATTCAGAATCATCTCGCGGTACGTGTTTTTTGTTCGCTCGTCAACAACTAAATCTTAACTCACAAGTAATGCGTCGTACGATAGGCTGATGTTTACTTAATCGAATACTGATTTGTGATTCGAGCTCAGATACTGATTCAGAAAAATCGCTGGTAGATGCTACGAGAAACTGGTGCACAAATTTGCAGCACAAGCAAAGTGCACGGGTGAGTGCACTGAAGGAAATTGTGTAGTTTCGAGCATATCTGCAAAGCGAAAGCAGGTCTGAAACCTATTGATAATCTTTCATCTTATCGCCAACAAAAGGATAGTTGTTTTTGCGAGTCCCCGAAACAGGAAAAGCAGCCACCACGACATCATTTGCGTCAGTAAGCGCCTGCGCAGAAACAGGCATTATTGTATACCGGGTAGCAATAAATGAGGTATAGTAACAAATTTGTCACCTTTTGATTGATTCTAAAGCAGAAAGCCAACAGTCCTGCTGGCTAAATGAGCGGGAATCGACTGATGGAGGAAACAAAAACTAGCCGGTACACTGCTGTAGTAGAGCATAAAAAAGAAACAGAGAGGCATTGGAGCTAGAAAAAAAAGTTGTATTCCCGCAAAATGGCAGCACATGCCATGAAAGAAAAATGGCTGAGAAAGGTGCGCATCATCTTTTAAACATACAGGCAATGACGTACACGTACGTCTTTGACCCTCTCGTGTCTGTTCGGAATGACGTGCATGTAGATCATTGACCATAAAAGAATTGATGGGGGTCTGCTGTTTGTTTTATGTATTTACTAGACCCAGACCTCTCTTGAGCGCTTGGATGTCCTTGAGTCAATCTACATCACCAATGATTGCCGTACCTCTTTAGTGCATCATGGGCAGTGACAGCTCACGATGTATCAGGCAGGAATGCTGCGGGAAAGACACAAGGAAAGGTGATTCTAATTCATACAGAATCTTTCCCTAAAGCTCTCGAAAGTCAGCAGCACTGCCTGGCATGGTGGCACTTCAGGTGTAAAAGCCAGTTGGTAATATGAACTTCAAAACAGGTACTGTTTCGGTCGCCTGCAGGTAGCTGTTGAGGCAGGTTAAGCCATTGGGCAGAGATGCCTACTGCACCTTCATATAAAAAAAAAAAAAAGGAGGAGGTTTTGAAGCAGGGTCATGCGATCAAGTATTGCGTGAAACTGGAATAAAAACAAGACAGAACTCAGAAACCCTATAGTGACATCGCGTTGAAACAAAGCCTTACATTTATGTGGAACAAATGGTTCTAAGAATAACATCTGGGGTTTCACATCTTAAAAAACTAGAGGTTTTAGGAATAAACTTCGCTAAAACTGTTGCTTGGACGAGTTGGTTCATGATTATTTAGACTGATTTATCAGCGCAAAAAAGACGGAACATTTAGAAAAGACACACAAACACAGCGCTGTGTGTGTGTGTCTTTTCTAAAAGCTCCGTCTTTTTTGCGCCGATAAATCAGTTCTGGGAAAATCTGCAGTCTATGTCAACGAGGACAACCAGTCTAGGACAACCAATCACAAATGAACGACTTGGAGCTGGAAGTGGGTCAAGTATTAGATGAAGAGAGTGATTAAGTGTTCAGATGATTGTGGAGGAGTGTTTTGCTCAAAAAATGATTCATCACGTTTTGACGAATTATCTTCTAATGGGGAAAGTTGGCACAAAAACGATGCCAAAAGTCCCGACAAGTGGAATGAAGGAGCAGTGACACTGCACAGATGGTCTTCGAGCTGTAGGCCAAAATGGGTTTGGCTGTTTTGCTCCAGCTACTGTACAACCTCGATATGGCACCACTAGACCCTTTTTTTGTACCCAATGATTAAAGGAACCCTTCATGGGATGCTGGAGACAGTAAAGGCATATTCGACGATTTCTCTGAAGAAGATTGTTGTTGGCGGTTTTAGGGCGCATTCCGTGATTAGGTAGAAGTGCTGGCAACGATGCGTTAAACCAGGGAAAGAGCACTTTGAAACGTTCTGAAAACATTGTGAAATTGATATTGAATATATCATCTCTAAAGTCAAAATTCTGGGAACTTTTCAGGCAGATCCTGCATGTGTCTGTAGATTCTTTACCGAGACTGTGTGCCAGGAACGTTAAATTCAGCCAATCTAAGCTTGTGAGAACAGTGAATTTTAGGTTTGAAGCAAGTTCAAAGCAAACGGTGATTTGGTTTGAAATATCTTTATCAATTTTGAATAGTATATATCACTTATGAAGACAAAAGGGAATATTTGTCAAAACCCTAATAACCTGCACAATATTAAAAAAATTGAAACAGGGCCTGTGCAAATGACATTGTTTTTGGATCAAAGGAAGTGGAAACAACTTTGAATAGTAGCAGGATTTGCCTTTCAGTAGAATGCAAGTGATAGCCTTTAAAAAATGTTACGTTTTAAAATTTACTGTACTTGGAGCATATAAGCTAGTACAACAAGCTTTCAATCTTTAGCCGTGAGGGTCAATGTGAGGGTAATAAGTTCATTCAACTTTGAAGTGGGGCTTCGCCGATAATCGACTTTCACCTGAATTTGCGTTTTCATGGTTTAGTATCCTTCCATTACAGTGAAACTACCTTTACAGGGAGTTACATGCATATTAATTTACATCTGTTAATTTCAAATACAGCAGAACCTGCTTATAACGAACTCGAAAGTGCCGTGATAAATGGTCATTATATTAGTATATCATTGTACAGTAGACTTTCAATAATTCATGCTTTTGGTCAATTCAAACAAAATTCAATTCATAGGTTGGCCCTCTGTTCTTTTGATGTATTTTAAAGCCTCTTAGTTCAAACTCCATCATTCGGTTTTTTCATATTTTTTAGGTACATACCAGAAAATATCAGCTGTTTTCCCATTACTATTTAAAAATTTGTGTGCTTATATAAACCCAACAGTCTAAAAATGAAAAATAAGCACCTGAGGCTTACATGAAAAAGGCTTTGCAAGTGACTAAATGTTTGAAACCAAGCCGGTAGGCCGTGATGCTTCTCAACTGGTATAGAGAGCTCTGTGCTGAAAGCATATACCTGTATCAATAAAGCAGTTGGCAATTCATGATTACTTTTAAAGGTCTCATCAGCACTAAATGGCTAATAACCTTGTGGGCTTTACACCTCTGCTTTCTGTTCACTGTATGCAGTTAGGGCTTAAAAACACTCGAAAAATTTTTAAATGTGATAAAATCAGTGCTTAATCATAATGTGTGGTATCACCTCACCCAGAGTCATCTATCTGAGAACTTCTAATAATTCAAACTTCTTGATAATTCAAATGCAATTCAGAGGTTCCTTCGATTTTGAATTATTAAGAGTCAACTGTATAGGGACCAGCCCATTAAAACGTCCATTTAGTGGCCGAACTGTTTTTTTTTTCTTCCTGTGTATATATATATTTTTATTGAAAGGTGTGAACCACCTTTCCGTTGATAAGTTAGGTCTTTCGCGTGTTAGACGACGCCCGTATGCTCAAGAGTGAATTCAACCACGTTTGCAATGAACTTATGCCGTTCCACTGAAGTGCGGTATTGCCACTCTTAACCAGTCATCCCTAGCTACTTTGGTGCAGCATGTTGCTTACTCGGCTCTTACCATCGCATGACAGCCTCGCTTGACGTGGCGGCTGCGAACTTGCGAATCGCACCATGACGCGCTTGTACCGCCATCACTCCATCAAACAGCTATCTGAAAACGACTGTGATAAGGTTGCCGATAATGAGTCAAAATGGCACGTTCATCGCCACCGGCCACATCATCATTTTGATGCTTATTCATTAGGGCACCATCGGAACTGCACAGAAGTCGTTATCACTAATCGACCGATATCTGCTCTTACCGAAAGATGGAAAACCTTTAACGGCACATTGCATTGTCAGAAAGTTGAGTGTGGCAGTGAACTTTCATGCCACAAAAAATCGCTTCTCAAATTTATAACTTCTTGCGATCGAAGGCTTTTTTGGTGAATCATCGGCAGTCGTAGGTGCCGAGAAAGGCATCAGAAGTTTTCTGGGCGAAAGCTGACCGCAAGTCCTCATGCTGCCTCCTATTTCTTTTTTTAACCTCACGTCACGTTCGTTCTACCAGTGAAAAAACGCCTGAAAAGTGAGTAACTTTGCTCGCAACAACGGAAATTTGCGTGCAGTGCTCGTTGCTGTTTATGATATCTTTGTCACAAGTAACCTGCAGCGGGGCACATGCGAGTGTGCGCCTATCACATGCTTTAAAATGCCTGTTTTAACTTTTTTTCCTGCTTCGTATGTGCTATATTTTTACCACGACCTTGCAGAAAATGTTCGTCGTAGAGTAGGAGGCTTTGAAAAATGTTTCTTTGTGTGGACTCAGTTTCAAAGGATAGCATAGGGAAATCATAAGTGCACCGAAATATGGTTGTTATAACGGATAGTTTGTTATAAGTGGGTTTGATTGTACTTTAAAATGTTCAATACCTTAAATTTGAATTGAAGCCATAACTGGCACCATTGGGCATGTTTTGATGTCACTGACCTATGAATCTCTTTGCTCCTATTTCTTGCTGGTCTGCTGGGCCACGTCGTTAAAACGTCCCAGCATTCACAGCAAGAAGGACTTGCAGTGCAGGAGTATACATACATGCCTGTGGCCATCTGCATATTTATAGGGTTTGCTATAGCAACACATGACGTAGCCGCAGTTATGGTGTAAATAATTCTAATTTTGCCCAGCTGAGTATTGCTGGTGCACAAATTCTGGGTTCAAAAGATGCAATTCAGGGAGCTGGAAGCGTTTAAGTGTAACCTGCCCTTCATTGTTTCATGATGTGAGTATCCTGTAAAAAGAAGTCATGGACACAACTACTTATGATATCAGTAGCTGTGGAAAGCGGGAGCATGAGGGCACTTTTTTTTACAGTGAGCAATTGAAGATTCCCTGCAAGCAGATCAGCACTCAACAAAAACATTTTTTTTTCTCTGTTTGCAGCCAAACAAGCCAGCAGATACACATTCGTGCCAGAACCCTGGTTGAAACGAGTGACCTGGGAGCAAGGTAAAAGGAACACACTTTTGCTCAGACCTGTGCATAATGGAGAAACAGTACACTTGCCATTATTGAATTCGGTTGTTCACTGTTGGTTTTTTCTGAGTTAGTGGAAGGCTAGACTCACTGGTAATCCATGACTGCTAGCACAGCGCATGGAAGAAAACATGTGCAGCAGTCACAGAACGCAGTGCTGCACTTCACAAAGAAGCTGCTTGAAGTCAATGTTGTGTGCATCTTCGCTGGTTCAGCCTTGGGTTCCTCAGCCTGTACTTAAAAAGTGACATCCTTTGTCTCTTCAGTATAAAAATGGTTGCACTTTTGTGGGCATGTTTTCCTTACACAACAAAAACTGTCATCTGTCTTGTGTACCTCCCAGCATTCTGTCTCCTAGTTTAAAAATATGTCTGAAGCCTCCGGAAAGCTAGCAAAGCTTGCTTAACTGTTTCATGTGACACTGGGGCAACTGTTAATTTTCCCTTTTTGAAAATACCTAATACCTTGTGTTTTGTATGTAGAGGAGCAGAAAACAGCTACGAGCTTTTCCTCATGCTGCTGGCCCAGAGCCTGCATAGGCAGTCACCAGAGGGCGTCACCAGCACATGGAGGTCACTGCGTGGTCGGTAAGCAGCGTCTTCCAATTTCATCGGTTTTGAAAGAGCATTGGCACAAAGAAAGTGGCTTTTGTTTTTTTGGGGGGAGGGGGAGGACTAAAGTAATTCAAGTCTCGTTGATCAAGGCATGTAATACTGTCACATAGCTGCAACAAGAAAGAATGTAGCAATCAAGCTGGAAAAGGTGGGACTCCTTCCTCGTTGGGCAAGCTTGTGCCCAAAAAATCACAGTCGCCGGTCGTTAATATTCTGGCCTTTGGCATTGAAATTTGTTGGCTCCTATAGGTGCACTATAGTACGTTCCAGTGTTATTGTTGATGGTTGCTTTAGTACTAGAGTGCACTCAACTTTTCGCGTTGTACACACCTTTTGAGTAGAACACTCGGAAAACGTCTGAGGGGGCTGCATGATCCTGCGGTGGGCCAGTGGAGAGGCCTAGCAACGAGAGGCGCGCAGTGAGGTGACACAGAAACCAAGCTTCGGCGAGACTGGTGAGAGACTGCTCTCTCCCAAGTTTATTTACGGTGTTTATAAGGAGGGAGAAAGAGGGTGACTGTTCGGTGTGACACGGGTTATATGACCTACATGGCCACTCTGGGTTGCAAAGGAAACAGGCATGGTAGACAAATAGGCATGTCGATACAAAATTAGAAAAACGCTGTCCAGATTTCTCTATTAGTGAGGGTCTACCACTGAAGGCCTTTTGGAAGCCAGCACTTGACTTCATCCCAAACTAGCAAAAGATAGGTGATGAAGTTAAGCTTTGAAGAAAACGTCAGTACACTGAATGCCCTTACATAATTTGCTTTCTACAAAATTCATTGCATGTACACTGAATATTGGAAAATCTGCTGTGAATTAAATTTAGCAGAACTTGGTTGCTACGTACCATGAAAGAAGGGAATGGAGCAAAGTGAAGACGTTATTAAAGGCTGTAGTGGTCAGAGGGTTGGGTTAAGTGCATTGCTTTAGGAATGCTCTACAGTTTTTACTGCAGCCGAGATAGGAATGATATCAAACCCCTGTAAAAATGCATATAGCATATGTGTGAAACATCCCCGCCGTGGTGGTCTAGTGGCTAAGGTACTCGGCTGCTGACCATCAGGTCGCGGGTTCGATTCCCGGCTGCCGCGGCTGCATTTCCGATGGAGGCGGAAATGTTGTAGGCCCGTGTACTCAGATTCGGGTGCACATTAAAGAACCCCAGGTGATCAAAATTTCCGGAGTCCTCCACTACGGTGTCTCTCATAATCAAATGGTGGTTTTGGGACGTTAAACTCCACAAATCAATCAATCAATCAATCAATATGTGTGAAACATGGTATCTGCATGTGTTCAGGCACACGTCTGGGCAGCTTGCTCATATGCAATGTGAAGAGCTGTGAGGTGTCATGGTATGAATTTTTTTAACAGCTAATGCGTATTAAAGGTCCCCCCCACCAGGTTCTGTTTTGAAAAAGGGACAAGAGTAGGTCATAAGTCATGTAGCGGTGGTCGTAGTACCTGCGACCTTACTAAGCTTACGGTCAGCTGTCAGTGGTGTCCACACTATATATAGAAGCGTGAGCAGGGTTTGAGAGTTCAGTAGGCAGCCATCAGCCTGCCTTGTGTGGGGCTTGCAACCGGTGGAAAATCACAAAGTACTTGCATGTTGTACTCTGAGTACTTAACTAAAGTATCTGTCACTTATTTCGTTGATCACCTTTGTGATAAGGTACACAACCGTTGGTGCCTGTGTGATTCATCTATTTCTTGGCCATCAGTGAAAGAACTTTATTTGGTCCTGAGAAGAGGAGAATGCCCCCATCAGGGGGTACCGTCTGCGGGCTCCGCCCATGATGGCACCGGGAGGTTAAAGCTCTCGGCGACTTTGCGGGCTCTCTGGACAGCCCTTTGCTGGTCCTTTGCAGAGCTGGTGATAAGCTAGAGCCAGTCTTTCTCAGTGGAGGGAGACCCTGAGCTCCCGTGCAAGTCGTGACACTGCCACAGCATGTGCTGGAGGGTGCACCTCGGATGAACACAACGCGGGCAGCGTGGGTCTATTCCGTCTACGAATTTTGACCAAATAAACGAACATGGATACGTGTTTGTTTGTAACATTTGCAGGGTGATTGCCTGTGGTCTATTTAGATGTGGGTGTCGAAGCGGAAACTTTCTACGCCCTAGCTGATAGTGCTTACAGACCTCGTTGAAAGTGAGAAGAGGGTCCCTTTGCCACTGCCCTCCCTCAGCCTCCGAGTGCCCACTTCCGGCGCGGTGTGTGAGACCTCGTGCCTGGGAGTGTGCAAGTTCGTTGCCGTTTGGGATGGTTTCGTGAGCATCACTGCCCACATGACCAGGGAACCAAATTATATGCTTTTTGCCTGTCCAAGATGCAGCAGAGAGAACGCGCGCGGCTTCTTTGCACACTGAGCCTTTCATAAATGCTCTAGTGGCGGCTCGCGAGTACGTGTAAATAGTAGAACGGTTCGTTGTGGCCATGGCAATGGCCACTGCCACCTGTTCGGCTTTGTCGGCATCCGAATTTTTGAGCGTAAGTGATGTCAGCAGCTCTCCCCGTAACGACGTGGCTGCTGAAACGAAGTGATTGGAAGCTGCGTATTGCGCTGCGTCAATGAAGGCGACATTGTCCTCAATCGTAGCCGCTGTTTGAAGAAGGACTCTGGCCCTTGCTTTGCGTCTGCCGCAGTTGTATTCGGGGTGCATGTTTCTAGGTACCTGAGATACTGCATACATTTCCCTGACTTTGATAGGGAGCGCGCACTCCCTCTGTCTGGCAATGGGAGACCGTATACCAATTTGCGCTAGTAACTGTCTGCCAGCCTCCGTGGAAGCCAGTCTTGCAACTTGGGTGACCTGTTGTGCCTCTACTATTTCACTGAAGGTGTTGTGGACACCCAGCGCCAATAGATGTTCTGTACTGGTGCTCTGTGGGAGACCCAGTACCTTTTTTATGTTCTTGCGAATTATTGATTCTAATCGGGCTTCATCCCTCCTGCTCCACTTGTGGGCCAGGGCGATGTAGTTGATGTGGCTCATTAGGAAGGCATTAAAGAGTCTACGAAGGTTCTCCTCGGATAACCCCCCTCGTGATTCATTTTGTCATGTAATTGGCTTTGGCTGCGATGCGTTCTAACGTGTGTAGGCGTTACTGCCATCCTCCTCCAGGAACATGCCGAGGATTCTAACTTTCTTTACGATCGGAATAATAGAGCCGTTCGTTGTGGTGATCAAGATATCGAGGAAACTTCCTTTCATTGCACCGATTGTTGGCCGGTAAAGGAGCAGTTCCGATTTATTAGCCGACAAGCAGAGTCCTGCCTTGTGAAGAAAATCTTCGACAACCCTGATCGCTGTTTGTAATTGCTCTTCAATTCGCCCATCACTACCTCCCTCGCACCAGACGGTGATGTCGTCAGAGTAGAAGGCGTGACCGAGACTTTCAATCTCGGCCAGACTGTGGGAAAGTTCTCTCAGCGATAAGTTAAATAGAAATGGGGATAGCACTGCCCCTTGTGGAGTGCCTCTGCGTCCAAGATCAAACGTCTTCGAGCCGAGAGATCCTAGGCAAGTGGTAGCTTTTCTGTTCTTAAGAAATGAGCTGATGTAGTTGTAAAAATGTTCTCCTAGACCCGCTTCTTTAATGGAATGAAGTATGTGACAGTGTTTGACCTTGTCGAAGGCCTTTTCCAGGTCAAGTGCCAGAACAGCTCTGGTGTCTCTGGAGACCCTGCCAATGATCTTGTGTTTTAAAAGCAACATTACATCCTGCGTTGACATGGACGGCCTGAATCCAATTAGATTAAATGGGAAGAGATTCCTTTCTTCAGCAAATTTAGTGGCCCGCTTGAGAATAACATGCTCGGCGACCTTCCCTACACATGAAGTGAGAGATATCGGCCGGAGCAAGCCAAGCTCCAGGGGTTTCCCCGGCTTCGGAATGAGGATGACGGTCGCGTCGCGCCACTCTGTTGGAACCTCGCCGATCTCCCACACCTCATTGATTTTATTCGTTCGAAGCTCGATATCCTCGTCAGGTAAATTCTTTAAGAGTTTGTTACTGATCCCATCGGGACCCGGAGCTGATCTGCCGTTGAGCTCATATAGAACCTCTCGTACCTCTGCGCACGTGAAGGGGGAACTAAGAGGGTCTGTTCCGTTCTCTGACAAAGCAGGAGGGTAGTCATTGTGTGAGACGGGTTCTGTGCAAAGATATCTCGAGGCGAGCTCATCGATAATTTGTGTCTCTGTCAGACCAGAGTTCTTTAGGTTGTGGATAAGTCTGTCAATTGTAAGCTGCTGATAGGTTTTGGATTATTTATCTCCCAGTAGATGTTTGAGGAGGTTCCACTTCGCACCACTCCTCATTTGCCCGTCGACGGCATTGCATACTTCGTCCCATTGCTGTCGAGCTAGCGTTTCACAATGCTCATCTATCTGCCTATTAAGTTCAGCAATTTTTTTGCGTAGGCGTCGGTTTAGTTTCTGCGTTTTTCATTGAGCCTGCAGCTCGTTTTTATCCTCCAGAAGGTGGGCTAATCGACTGTCCATGCGCTCTATCTCTCTTTCTGTCTTCACTTCCTTTGTGGAAGCAGCAACGTCTTCTTTGAGGCGAGTGATTAATTCGTTTAAGGACTTGTATTTATTCTCGTCTTGCTTTCTGATAGCTCTAAAAAGGTCCCAATCTGTGACGTGAAATATTATGAGCGGTGGTGACAAGATTCTTATCGCGAGGCTGGTAATGTAGTGATCACTACTAAGATTGTCTTGTAAGTTAGTCCATATGGGTTCCTCTGCATTCCTAACCATGGTCAAATCTGGTGTAGTATCCCTGCTGACCGAATTGCCTATTCTGGTGGGGTATCGTGGATCAGCGACCAGTGTGAGACCACAAGCTATGATCTGTGCTGCGAGGGCTTTGCCTTTTGTGGTATCCTTGATATAGCCCCAATCTTGATGATGTGCGTCCCCTGCTATGATGAGCATTCGATCACCAGCAATATTACACGCTTTGTGGAAAAGAGCATGAAACGTCTCTTTTCTGTCGGCTGGTGAGCTGTAAACGTTTAAAATAAAAATGGATTGCTTAAGTTTAGCGCTTGGGATGAGCTCGATCATGATGTGTTAAATATTTAAGTCCGGCCTAACGTCATGACGTAAATAGGCGAGATCCTTTGAGACGAGTGTCGCTACACCCCTCTTGCCCTCCTTGAAATACGTTTCTGCACGATAGTGACAAAGAGCGATGACATCGGTGAGCGTTTCCTGAAGGAGAATTATTGATGGCTTTTCGGTAGCAAAACTAAGAAAGTGTTGCAGTACTGCCTTTCTTTTGCGGAAGCTGACGCGATTCCGTTGCCAGATTACTAGATTGCTTGCATTATCCATTTACTGACTCGAAGGGGGTGTACCAAGCAGTGCGTGCTGCCTGTATGATTCTAAAATTTGAAGCCTCGCGGTGTACTCGGTCAGTTGGAGCCTGATAGGAGTAATTTCAGCAATAACGTCATTTCTTAGCTTTTCAAGCAGTGTTTAGATGCTTGAGACGTTAAGCGCCTCCTCGTCCATGGGCTCAGGGCCTGCCCTGCGTTTCGCGCCTCTGTTGACGGACGCTGTGGCTGCGGTAGCTTGATCGCTAGACGCGCGCTCTCGCTGCTGCGTTTCTTGCAAGATTGACTTAATATCAGCTAATTCTTGTCGAAGAGACGCATTCTCGCGCTCTAGTGATTGTATTTTGTCTCGCGTTTGCTCTGACAGTTGCCCTGGTTGCGCGGGGGCATGGGCCTCACCTGTTCCGGCTACCTTGTCCGCCCAAGTAGGTTGCGAGTTGAAGCCACCCCGGGAACTCCGAGAGCGTTCCGTGGCGGCGTTCCTTGGAGCAGCCGCAGCTGGTGTCTTGGTAGGAGCGGCAATTTCCCGGTCTCCGGCGTTGCTCGTAGCGTTCTTCGTCTTGTGACCGCCTTTCCTTCTTTTTATATGTCGCCTTCTTACAACGTAGGGAACTTGGTACCTGTTTTTGCAGGTACGGTCACCGGTGAGATGAGCGTCTCCGCATAGCACGCACTTCGGTTGCACACATTCGCGTCCATTTGCGATAATCGAAATCCCGCACTTTTCACACACTTTTTCAGTCGGTCTAGGGCAGACATCGTGCCTCTGGCCGATTCGGCCGCAGTTACGGCAAGTGTCGATTTGCCTCTTGTACAGTGTACAGCGTAGCATGTTGGGGCCGCAGTGAACATAGTTGGGCACTTTCATGCCGTTGAACAGTACAATCACGGTAGGGGTCTCCTTTATGCGCCTGACTCCGAGCACCATCGGGTTTCTGGGTGTGACAAAAAGGCTTTGCTGCGCAAATTCGGCCAGATCGGTGTCGATGCCTCTGACCACACCTCTACAGGTATTTCCCAGGGGTGTAATGTAAGCCGAGATAGAGTGCTTTTTATCTGCCAAGAATATTTCCTGCACTTTGTAGTATGCATTGGCATTTGATTCGGAGGGTGTGCTTATAACGAAGATATTCTGCATGGCGTTCGCACACATGATATCCTCCTCCGCTGCCGCTGGGGGCAGCCTGGCAGCCATTAAAATGGCTTGCGTGACCTTTAACTGACTGCATGTTCGCACGTCCAGCCCTCCCCCCAGGCGGACGACCAATCGAAAGTGCTATGTGGGCAGGCGCGGTAGCCTGGAGGCTGCGGCAATCTTTCTCAGCTGGCTGGCTTTAGCGGGGCCAACGTGGGCTCCAGTTTGCCTAGCCGAGTGCGTCTCGTGCTTGAGGCGGGTTTTATCCGCATTCCGCTTTGTGTGGGCGGTAATCCAGCCGTTGGACTCGGCTTCCTCGTTGGAGATTTGCTCTCCTTTTACCATAGCCTCATGAGGCATGGCCTCCTCGGGGGTCGGCCGAACAAGCGGCCGCGCGTTCCGCCTTTCCGCGCTGCGGCGCCCGATGCCGTGTATAAGCACAAATAGGCCTAACCCTTGGTGTCGGAGAAAGGACCCACAAAAGAGGTTCCAGTGGACCTACCGTGATTAATGGGGTATCCAGGTGTTCCTTGAAACTTCCCGGAGTTGCTCCAGTAGAAATCTCGGAGGGAAAGCACATCGGACTCACTTGAACAACGTCAGTTGGCGGAGCCGATGCAGACGCGTCCGCAAGCCACTCCACCGCCTAGCGTCCTCTTCTTGGCCATGGGTTCACATTGCTCAACCTGAGCATATTTGTTGGTGTGTTGAATGTCTTCACTGGGAAGATTGTTGTCCTAGACATGTCTTGCAGAATGCTTCCTACAACTTCCTGTCGCAGCATCTGCAGCCGGTTTCACGCCAAGCGAGTGGAAGAGCTGTCTGAGCTGGGCCTGCAAAACTGCTCCCTGCTCTTCCTGGTGCTCTCCCTCTCCGTCGACCTGGACGAACCGGTGAGTGAAACTAAAGTCCACCCAGCAAGCTTGTTGTTCTTATGTGTTTCGCTTCATTGTCACCCTCAAGTTCCATGACGCAATAAATGAGGATGTCAGCATTCGTGCTGCTTTAAGTGCAAGGAATTTTTTCACTTCATGCCAGGTGCACTGCAGTAGGTTTGTTTCCGTCTCACCTTGGTCGAGAAACCAAGTAAAACATACTTCTCTGGCTTCAATGCACAGATCAGTCCCGAAAAACAATAGGTGGGGTCAGAAGTTTACTTTCCGAATTTTCGACGTGACATTGTGCTCTAACAAGAGTGGATGAGGGACTGAAACTCTGATTTTGGCAAAAATATGCATTTCCATATGATTTGTTCTCAATTGCTGGTTTATAAAAGCTAATGCTCAACAAGTTTGGTTGTCATCTGAGCTGCGGAAAAGAAAAAAAATTAATTTTCTTGGTATGGTGCTGCAACTTTGCTGCCATAAGCGTCTTCAAAACACACCTTTGAAGACACAGCTACAGAGTGTGCAAGAAGCTGTGAATGCTAAGCGAATGTCCGAGAATGACGACGAAGATTTTTCGTTGCTGCTGGACTAATGCCATCTTGTTCACCCAGCTCTAATAAATAAGTAAACTACCTGTAACAATATTGACATGCAATCGTGATGATAAAAAAAGACTAACACTGGACTGGGAAATGCAGAACTCTTTATTTGAAAACGTTGCCCGGCAAATGAAATGTTGAAGTACAAGCAATTCGCACTGATAGCGGCGAGAACATTTGTTGACGAACTGGTAACCTTATCTGCAGTAAGATGTATTGGCATTTACACATGCTGGATCGTAGATTCCAGCCTTATCGTTGGTGGCCGTGTTATTCGCATCACATGGTCAAACTTATTAGAACAATCTAAAATAATGGAGAATGTTGAGCATATCGATGCAGTGCACATAAGGCACCAGTTGCTTGTGTGATGTGTTGTTCACATGAAAATAGAAAAAACTAGCTCATGGGGCAATATGTCAATGGGAGATAGTTGCAACTAGCGCCTCCTCTATTTTTTCAGTGCCCGGGCGAAGGAGCAGATTTTAATGGGAAGCGGCCGTCGGTGCTAGTGCGGCGTTTAGCCGCCAGGCGCCGCAACTGGAGTAATGATGCCACCGCGTCTTCTCTCGCGCAAACGAATGCCGCGGCTGCATTCAAAGCGGCTTTACGACTCAGTTTTCAGCTGTATTTGCATTGTTTACGATGTAATGAAGGATTGTAAACGAGAATCGTGAAGCATTTGTTGTTGTGGACACCAAGCTAATTTCAAAGGCATGTGTCGTTCGTGACTACTTGATCGAGACACTCGCCCGTCGTCTGCTAGGCTGATACCAAATAGTTGATGCCAGTCACCCACGCAAGATCGTTTTGTCACCATGGCGTTTGCTTGACTGAGAGTTGCTTTTTTGACTAACTGAAAGTCAATTTTTGAGAGAAGCTTTTACCAGGAGCTAATATTGCCCCGCCGCGGTGGTCTAGTGGCTGAGGTACTCGGCTGCTGACCCGCAGGTCGCGGGTTCGAATCCCGGCTGCGGCGCCTGCATTTCCGATGGAGGCGGAAATATTGTAGGCCCGTGTGCTCAGATTTGGGTGCACGTTAAAAAACCCCAGGTGGTCGAAATTTCCGGAGCCCTCCACTCTGGCGTCTCTCATAATTATATGGTGGTTTTGAGACGTTAAACCCACATACCATTCAAGGAGCTAATTTTAAGAGCTTGGGTGCCTAATGTTCCCCGCTGCTTTCTACTCTTTAGTGGCATAGCACACTATGCGCAAGCCTGTAGTTAATGCACTAAATAGCATGCAATGCCTCATCATCAGTTCCTTCCGCAAAGCATTACATGTGTTGCCATTGAGAAAAAGCAAGTGTCAGAAAATGAGGAACTATGGCAGGTGATTTCATCACTTGAGAGTTTAAACAATGAAATCATTGTATAATAAACAATAAGAGCTCCATATGTGGCGCAATTTCTCCTATTATTGCCTATGTTTTGAACAGGTGCTGTTAAAGTCTGAAGTTCAATGCCGACTCTCAACTTTAGCCAAGTGGCAGGCATGAAAAATGAGGCCTGTGGTCAGTTGCTTGAGCTTGTCTGTGTATTCATTGGCAGTCTGTTGTAGCCTTAATATCCAGCTGCTCAGCCCTGTTTCTTTCTTCTTCCCTCTGGCCTCTTAATTCGGTAGCGAGCAGAGTAGAGCCAAATGCCTGTGTGGTGCCCATGGGCTCCCATACAGCTTCGGGACGTAATGTTAGCGTTGCACATGGCAGTGATCGCGAGGTAGGGTTGTTACTGAAAGACTCATTTGTTGACTGTTCAGATGCAGCGCACTCCCATTCAGTGATACCAATTGCCATGCTGCCAAATGTGACTGGTAGTCTTCAGCCACCACTACTTATAATCCATAAAATACTCAGGTTGTAAATGACCGCTGCATATTAGAGTGTAGTATGAAGATTTATTAGAAGACCAATTGTTCTGCTTGATTACTGCAAGCACCCTCTTCCTGAACACCAGCGGAAGCTGCAATTTCATGGAGTTACAGCTGTACAATGCATTAAGGCTATAGCTTTAAGTGCCTCATCAAAAGCGAAGATTGATCGCCGGTGGCGTCCGGCGTCTTTTCGCGTCGGCGGCGCGAACGCGAGTAACGCGAGAAATCATGATTACCTGAAAACTTCATCATATGACATCACATATCATATGACGTTTGTGACGTATCGGAAGGTTACATAACTTGACAACATCACATAACATCTTCGCTTGGTTAAAAAATGGCCTATCATGAGGGCAGTGCATAACCAGCTGAGGGGCAGAAAGCTAGCTTTGTCTACAGTCCTTGAGGCAGTAACAGAACCATGTTGGGCGCAGAAATATCCCGGAGGAAAGTAGGAAACATTTAGTTCATTGAATCTGAAGAAGGCGAAGATAGTTTTTGCCTTTTGATCGTCTCAGGTGAATCACAAAGAAACCGATAAGTTTTATTTTATTTTTTTTGTAACTAATGAGAAAGGGAAAAAGAAAATCTGATTTTTTCCCGTCAGATATGCAGAGTCGTACACAGCAGTGTTATATAGTACTGAAGCATGCAAATAATGGGGTTGCAATAACTTGAAAGAGAAAAGAAAAAACGCGATTACTGTAAAACTCAAACACATATATTGAACCGGTAGCAGGGGCCTGACAGAGCCAGGTGAAAACAGCACGCCGCTATGTTCGTGTTATTTTTCATTCTCCCTGCATCCGTGAAAGCCATCGAGAAGCACGACTACATATTAAATGGCATGAAAACACGAATTCGCGAGCTTCCTAATATGTGCGGCCGTTCAGCGTCAGCATCCCGTACTCTACTCGCGCAGCGTCATCATGCGGCAGCGGCAAGCGAAGGCGAAGCGCAGCTCGACGGCCCAAAGAGAGCGTTCGCCCGGGTACTGAAAAATAGAGGAGGCGCTGTTCCAACTTCTGGCTTTCCTCTCTCAAGTTCTGGTTTGTAGCAGTTATTATTTTGTAAGCAGCACATGGAAGGTGACGTATATCTGTTTAAAATGGTGGGTACAGAGGCCTGAAAACATTGTGCTTATGCACTGGTGCTTTATTTGCTGCGGATGACACTAGGTTCGACGGCTTTATAAAAGGTAGAACACATTATTGAAGCTCTTTGCCCACATTTGCTTTCGGTACCGTGCTGCTCTTGTCGGCCTCTGAAACATTCTACAATGTGGACTGCACTCACCTGGTCACCCTCACACCCGAGGAGCCACTTATATGTTTGTATAAGAGGGCCCAAATATAGTTCCACTAATGAAACCTACAATGTTGGTTTTGTATTTTAAAATCGTTTGACTGAGTGTACAACTTCACTGTATGCCTGGTTAAGAAAGTAGTATCTGACAAATTTTTGGATGAATCCTTTCGAGTGCAGTAAAATATGCGAGTTAACTTTCATGTTTCTCGAAAAACAAATCATGTAGTTTTGAAGGTGAGCTATATATTATTGCTTTTAATTTTTTTAGATTTTTTATCTACCTGCTCATATATGCTTGATGGGCACCTTAGGTAATGGCAGAGCAAAGGTTGGGCCACGGTGTTCCCCTTGAACGCGGCACCCTGTGCCAACTTCTGCTAGTACAAGGCACCTAACGTCACTGGTCTTTGGTGCCCATCTAGGTGGATCGCCTGCTGTCTGTGCTTGTGCTGGTGCCCTCCGAGAGTCCAGTGGAAAAGCTACGAGTGGCCCTGAGGAGCTTGTTTGCAGTTCTGCTTCTGCTGCAGGCAAGCTCGGCCGATCTGTCCAAGGTGGCACAGAAGACAGCCGGATGGTTTTTTGAGCGCTGTGTGTAAGCTGCTTTGGCTTTTTATTGCAATATGGACACTCTCAAAAAAACATCTTTTTTCTGGTGCTGCCATCATGTACTGGTATAAATTATTGATTTAGCTATTCATAGTTCGTTTGCTGGCTGAATCGCGCTTCAACGAGCCGCAAATCTTGACAGCATGGCGGCGCCACCTGCCATCATTAGCTTCCCCTCAACCCACCCGCATCAACAGATTTTTGCTGTCGCTGTCGCCGTCATATTCCAGATATGAATGTGTGTGTGTGTGTGTGCATAAAAAAGGCACAAAGAAAAGTAAATTGAAGAAAAATATTTCAAAGCACCAGGCCGGGGATTAGGAGCAGCAACCCGTCGCTCTGCAGTGTGCCGCATTAGACAAGACAGACACCTCAACCACGCGCTATGCATGTGCCAGCGTAATAACGGCGAGCCGTTTATATACACCTTTTACCACTGGCGGCACACACATCTCGGAGGACCTTGAGCATGTTTTCTTTTGCGCAACACTTCCTACATTTCCATTGAATTTGAAAACTGCCCTTGAGACACACATGAAAAAGCGGCCTCTTTCTGTACCCACTTGTCATGTGGAACGGAAACAAGAAGCAAAAAGAAAACACTGCACACATTTTGCATCGGATGCGTGGCATCTTGTGTTGCAGGAGACACAAAGGGGTCCCTGCACGTGCCACAGTTCAAAAGCAAGGGAAACATATAAGAGCGTATGGTGACCCCGCTATTCACCGTAGCGTATGATCACCGCGGGTTCACGCTTAGCGAGTCACAGGGCCGCGACTCCGTCACATACTCGCGTGTAGCGCACCGCTTCGCGCGCGCTCAGCCAATAAGGCGTTTAGCGCGGCGCGGCAAAACAGACAGTGTTCCAATACAAAAATACACAACACTTTATTGCCTTTGGCGGCACCCTGAACAACAGTACAACGTCCGCTCTTGAGACGCAGAAAGCAAAGGCACCCGCACGCGGACGTTCACGATAAGGGGAAACCACGAGCATGTAGCAGCTGGCAATGGCGAGCTTTGACACGCCGGTCGGGAAAATGTCGCTCGCGGCTATGCTGCGCGCTCTCACAATGGCCACTGGGCCTGGTTGCGAGTGTTAGGGCAAACCTCGCACGCGTGGGCCTACGGCAAGTGCGGCTCGGTGTGGTACGACCACTTCAAGCACTAGGCACCACTGTGGGCTTAGCGTACAGTACAGAAGCTAGCACTCAAGTAAACACGCTTGCCGAGGTGCCAAAGGCCACACCAGGCAGGCTACAGTCTGGCGATTCCCAAAGGGGACGCGGACGAAGGAAACACATGCTTACCCGGCGCCAACCATGGAAAAGAGAGCTCCGTCCGCACGCACGTAACACGTGCTGCGCCCGCACGTGGCGCCATCTATCACCACGCGCCATTACCAGAGCAGAAAAAGCAAAAGGGTGTGGCCGTGCGGCGGAATGCCCGCGAAATGGTCGCGAGCGCGCCTCAGATTCCCATAAGCGTCAGGTTCGCCATTTTCAGCGCGTTGCTCAAACATCAAGACATAGCAACTATAGCAGCTCTTGGTTCAAGCTTGTCCCGAGTGTTCCTTTCGAGCATCCTTTTTTGTGCATCGGTGTTGTGCTGCAAGTGTTGAACTGCCTGTTGTCCATTGTATGACATTCCAATTTCTCACTTTTGCATTTTTATTACTTTATTTAAACATGAGCATGTAGCATAGTAAAAAAAAAGCCCTTTTATGCAATGCCAAGCAGAGTGCTCGTGTTCTCACAAGACACTCATTTAATTACTCTGACTTTTGACCCGCAGGTCGCGGGATCGAACCCCGGCTGCGGGGGCTGCATTTTTGTTGGAGGCAAAAATGCTGTAGGGCCACGTGCTCACATTCGGGTCCACATTAAAGAACCCCAGATGGTCGAAATTTCCGGAGCCCTCCACTACGGCATCTCTCATGATCATATAGTGGTTTTGGCACGTTAAACATTATATATTGATCAAACTCAAATCAATTACTGTGACTTCTTCAGTCGATTGCGTCATGCCTATTCTGTTCCTTAGCTTATCATGGAATCTAGATTTGTGCAAATAGTAAATTTTAGGTTTAAAGCTTATTCAAGGGAAATAGGAATTCGATCGAATTGTTTAAAATTTAATTTAAGTAATATATATCAAATATATATAAGAGCGAGCATTTTTTTCATGACCAAACTAACCTGCTCAGTATATTTTCAAAATTGAAATGAAGCATGTGAAAATGTCGCTCTTTTTAGTTTAATCAAAGGACATAACTGAATATACGAACATCACAACCCAGAAGTATTAACAATGCAACTACGGAACCTTCCATAGTTGCGTTGTAACTACTTCTAGGTTACACTGTTTGTATATTCAGCTATATGTCCGACCAACTTGCCTGAATTTTCATGCTTCATTAATTAAAAGAAGTTGAAGCAGCTTTCAATATTAGCAAGATTCGAGTTATTGTAGATATGCAACAGGTAACCTGTAAAATATGTTTTATTTTATAATTTACTGAACTTAGAGCATCGTGGTTTTGGGACGTTAAACTCCACGTATCAGTCAATCAATCAATGTACTTAGAGCATATAAGTCGTTATAGCAAGATTTTAAACTTAAAAAATGATAAATCAATGTTAGGATAATATGTTTGTTTAACCTTGAAGTGTGGCTTTGCTTTGCGCAAGACAGCGGAGATTTTTTCTGGAAAGGTGTATTCACAATGTGGCACCCCTCCACTGCAGTGAAAACACTCTTTCAGGGGGTTACATGCAGACTAACATACACCTATTTGTTCACCTCGAATATGTGAATATGAATTTGAATATTCGAAGTGCTTGAATATTTTCACAAGCCCAGTAAACTGTCCTGTTGTTTGAAGAACACTGATGGCTGCTGTATCTCGTCTCGTTGTCACCAGGGGCTTAGGGCCACAGAGTGGGAATGCTGCCATTCAGTCGTTGCGGTCTCTGCTGCTGCCAGTGTACACGGAAGGAATCCGAGAGGTTATGGACACCAGTTCGCAGCTTGACTGCTCAGAGCACGCACTGCTGGGTAAGCACTGCTTCAGCCGTGAATCATCACTTTTATTTTTCTGCGATTATCATGCAGCAAGTTTAGTTCAGTTTTCTTTTTTTGGGGGGAGCATAAAAACAAGTTGTCTGGTTTAAACTTATTGCAGCATATGGTAGCAAAAAAGTTGCTAATTTCTAGTTTCAACAATAAATTTCAGCTGACTTTTTAACTTGCATAACCCTTTTCATAATTCGCAAGTGCACTTCTCTGCACTGCATATTTGAACAAGAAAGGGCGGCACCTGTCGTGTCTCAAGCGAAGACGTGGTCTTAGTTGAACGTGCTAGGGTTTGTCTATTATGAGAGTTCATATCAAGAGAGGCGACTGAACATTTTCTACGTCATTGCGTAAGCAAACTGCACTTTAACAGGCTATTTGCACTAAATGACAAGCTGCAATGACTTGTTCAGACTGCATGGCAGAAAAGCTAACTTTATAATTTTGGAAAGAGTCTATGTTGTTGAATAAATACAGTGGGATGTAGTGTAATAAAGTAACTAACGAAAGACCTTTAAGATGGTTAACATTTCAAGCCTGAAATCACTGTTAGATTAAGGCTGACTTATTGCAAACAACAAAAGATTCACATGATTACTGTGTGTGTGTGTGTGTGTGTGTGTGTGTGTGTGTGTGTGTGTGTGTGTGTGTGTGTGTGTGTGTGTGTGTGTGTGTGTGTGTGTGTGTGTGTGTGTGTGTGTGTGTGTGTGTGTGTGTGTGTGTGTGTGTGTGTGTGTGTGTGTGTGTGTGTGTGTGTGTGTGTGTGTGTGTGTGTGTGTGTGTGTGTGTGTGTGTAAAAAATGCAAGTAATGTTAGCAATCATGTTAATGACAAAAAATGTGTCATATACATGGGGAACAAAACGCAGCAATATTTCGCTCTGTGTAGTGCAGTGATGAATGAAAGCTAAGCAGTAAAGATCATGCCAGCACACAAGCATATTGAAATCTTTTTAGTTCACAAGCTTATGCATAGTCGGTGAACTTGATTACCAGGTTAACCTTACAGCGTCACATCTCTTGTTCACTTGGCCTCACTGAAGTCATCAATCAGTAGTTTGGTTCAGTGTTTAAAAAGCTTTTTGCACAATCAGTGCTGGACTTATATGCTGTATAACAATGACTGAACTTTGGATGTTTTGTAGCATGCTTGCTAGTAATTCTGACCCCACTTCTATGACTATGTTAACTTACTTTGTTTTTGATGCAGTCGCTGCCAAGATAATCATGTCAGCGTCTTCTTTAACCTAAAACAAGCAAAGTTTCCTTTAAGGAGCACTGACATCAAATTTACTTATGTCACGATTTTCGCGTCAACGAGTAGCTATCAAGCCCCTAGTAGCGACTCATGACCTAAAACGCATCTTAGTGATGAATGAGTATCTGTAATACTGATTAATATATTCGCTATCGAACGCAATTCAAAATGGGTGGAAAGCCCGACAAATTGTAGTACTGGCAGCGCTACTTCGCGGCCACGTCTAGGCCGCTGCACAACTGATGCCGCTTCCACAAAAAATGGTGACGCCACACTGGCGTTTCGTCTTCTAGGAGCGCACCTACAGTCAGTCCAGCTGTGTCTCTGAAGGCGTAGACATGCCTACAGGTCGCCAACATCATCGTCTTCGCCGTCGTCGCGGTCAACATCGGCAAGTGACGATGACAGTGATCTGGAATTGGGTATCCCTGCGATTTACGGCGATCCTTGCTTAAAATCTCTGCATTAAATGCAATGTATTTATCAGTCTTGTCGTACTGTCGGAGCTCAGGGACACCAACTACACACCTCATGTCGCAGACATTTGGCGAGTGAATCGCTGCTTTCAGCTGCAGCAGGGCACACGGTAGGAATAGCTCCGGCCTCGAGAAGAGGCCTCGTACTACCAGTGAAACCCAACTGGTTCGCCAACACAGGATTTACCCTGTAGCAGCTCGCCGCAAATTGAAGGGAGCAAATGTGGCTGTTCATCACAGGTGTCTAGTCTCTCTGTCCAACGGCGCTTACGAAGTCAACCCACTGGCTGTGTTGAGAATTGTGGCTTGGAAAGGCATAAAACGTCACGCACTTTCCGCTTTGCGCCGCGACGTGCAAGTTCTCACTATGCAGTGGTTCCCGGAAATTCTGGCACGTATTGTCGCTCTCAATGACCCTACTCCCACACAGTGGAGCACAATGCAAATCAGTAGATGCAACACGATAAATCGCACGCACGCTTCAACCTAGCAACGAGAGCCACTAGTGAGAGCATGGCTGGGAGTTGGCTCCAAACACACTCAGAGATCGTCGACGTCATCGTTACTAGCGTATAGTCACTCAGGATGGTATTTGTGGAATGTATCACACCAAACACGTAGCACTAGTGTCGATGCCGCAGGGCGGTCTATTTTTCGTTTTTTCTCCTTCACTTTTCTACGCTGTTTGACGTTCAAATAACATAACTTGACGTGACGAACGCCATCGAAGTTTGGCCAAGAAGACTTATTCATACCAAGTGGTCGAATGACAGACACATCTCGATCTTGAAATTCGATGTCAGTGTTCCTTTAATCATTGGCTACACTCAAACAGCAGTAGAGTCAAACACACTTATAATAATACTTGACTGTCCCAACAATTCCAATGTTATAACTACCAAGGGTTTGTATGGAAAAAAAGCAAAATGGGGGATGGCAGGCTGTTGTGAGAAAATCATAAGATCAGGTGGAATATGCCAACGGACATCAATGATAGTGACAATCAAGAAGTACTTTAATTTGGGCTAGTTGATTCATAGTGCTCACATAGAAAGGGCAGCGCAAAAACTAGGGAAAAAAAAGAAGGACAGTAGAGACAGAGCGCTGACTAACAACTGAAATTTTATTGCCATCACCTGTGCATATATATGTGCCTAAAATGTGATTGAGAGGAGGTATAGAAGCAAGAAAAGAAGGCTGGTGTTGACCAGCGATAAAAACTGCAAACGATAAAATCTTCAAAGGAACTCGCGCAAGCGTGATGAGTGAAATGGATCAGGTCATGAAAAGCAAATGACACAGAAAATCAAAGAAAGCCTCTAAGATAACTAATTTCAGCGTCAGACAAGGATATGGAAGGCCTGCTCACGCACTTGTCACCTGCTTCATGAATGAAGAAAGCCTCAACAATATCGCGCACAATCTATACCTCCTCTCAATCACATTTTAGGCACATATGTATGCACAGGTGATGGCAATAAAATTTCAGTTGTTAGTAAGTGCTCTCTCTCTACTGTCCTCCTTTTTTTCCCGAGTTTTCGCGCTGCCCTTTCTATGTGAGTGACAACCAAGCTGCTTATTTTTTGAACACAATTGAATATTCTGGCGCTTTCACAGCACCGCGACGAGCTACATAGATTTAATGTATGAGCAAATATGAAATTTCGGATGCTGAAACTCTTTGATGTCCTATCTTTGTACTCGAATTGCATGTCTGAAACTGCATTAACAGAAGCCACCCCCGCACCATAGTGAATCTCAAAAGTCAGCTATGCCGTCATGCTGTATGGCTATGCGGTGAAGTATATTGTGTTTTCGAAGGGGCGTAAACGTTTGACAATACTGGGAAGGCTACAAAACAGGTAGTATTATATGAGTACGAGGTAGACGTTAGGGTTGGAAGGAGGGTCCTGCGGCTTGGATTTCTCGTTTTTCTTTTCTTTTCAGGAATTTGACATTTCATTACCTTTCAGCACAGACACAAGGCAGCCAGAATTCATTGTTATGAGTTTTAAATATATTAATATGCATGCAGTGTGCAACAGAAAGAAATTACTTCACTATTCCTAAAACATGGCTTGCCTCATCGAAACAGGAGCGAAATTCTGAGTTTCCTTTTTCAGCTAAGTGATATTTCGTGGTTGCATATTTTGTGTTGTGGAGATATTGAGCTGTTTTAGTTCAGTGCAAGCTAGCCGAGCAGAATCAACAGAGCTTTGTCAAGACGTACAAATTTTCTTGACATTATGATAGTGGTAAAGTTATGGTGGAGTTAAAGCAAGTTCTTTTATGCAGTGTGGCCTCTTCCTCATGCAACACAAGTAAACATTTTTCTAGCACTCGCCAAATATTTTCTCTTCGATATTGCTTGAATTAAGAAACTTTTGCAAACTAATCTCACCTCTCGTATTCAGGCATCCATGTCATTTAATTTTTCGTCTTGTCACAAGTGCAGTTAGCACTTTACTTAAAGGGGCCCGACGACACAATTTCAGCATGTCTTCTTCATCGGTTCTTTTGGTGTTGTGGAATGCGCCAATATTGTTGCGCAAGCAGCAAGGCTGAAATCAAAGCAGTTATAATATTAATTCACAGAAAAAGCTACCTTCATTTTGTACTGCGGTACACACATCGGGTACTTTTGTTATGGGAAGTGACGGTCATGTCATAAGACGTGACGACAAAGGCCGTTTGTTTTTGATTGGCTTGACGAAACAAGTATCATGCATTATTGATGTAGTGGTAGCCAGGTGTAAGGAAAGGACACAAAAGCACTGTGTGTTAGGTACGATTTGTGGAAAAAAAGGACTTAAAGACGCCGAGGAACGTCAAACCAAAACTGAAAAAGACGAGCGGAGGGCAGGTGGCACGAAGGCGACAACAAGGATTGAAAAAGAAGAGGAGAAGAAGGAACGTGCAGAAAAGAGAGCTCGAGGGTTGAGGCCACGAAGGCAGAAGAAGTGGTGCGCCGCTCGAGAGGACGAGTTCTTGGCAGCGTTCCTGAGCCGGACGTGGGACCCGTACGTGTCGGCCAGGTCGAGCTCCGGTGTGTCTGTTCGAGGTCGAGTCCGTCGGCCTGTACAAGGTCCAAGGACGGGGCCTGCTGAACGGCTCCTGCCTGGGTGCAGTGGCCGGGAGCAGGTTCGTGGGCGAGGCCTACCGGGTGTGGTCCTCGTGAGCCGTGGCCTGATCCTGGAACTCAGGAGTTGCGACCCTGACTGCTGGGTTAGCCGCGACGTCCGACTCAAC